CAACTGCAAGTTGTTTCCTACAGATCTTACAGCGGCACACAATAGTGTGCTGACACCTCTATTTGGATGTGTTTAGACTGCGGTATCTGTTCATTCTCAACAATGTTCTCACATTCAGTTCCAAAGCTAATCTTCGAAGAAAACTACAAAAGCTGTACAAATGCTTTAAGATGCTATGCTCAAAACTGTTGAGCAGCAACTGCAAGATCACAAACACAAACTAAACACAGCCCATCACAGATGATTTCAACCAAGCACATGTACAAACCAAAGAAAATAAACACAATGACCATGCAACAAAAGTTCAACACCTTGCTCAATTCCCCATGGAAGGAGTTTTCCATTGCTCAAGCCCTGATCCTGGACTATGGTTTCAAGGCTCAGTCGGGATCTGGAGGGATAACAGATGTCTTGGAGTGAAGCATTGTCTCCTATCTTTAGCAAATAAACCTCAATAAGTAAGCCTCAAATTTCAAGCAGCACAATGGAAACCACACAGGCTGTATATTGCATTGGATCATTTCTTCCTTCATATAAATGGCTAAACACTCATATATCCAGCTTTTGAATACAGATTACTTGGTTTTTACTCAAAATGTAGACGGCACACAACTAATGCAAAACATTTTTATTAGGCCTCATTCATTTCCAAAGGCAGCAAGGCCCTGATCTAATTGTTTCTAAGGAAATTTAATGTAAGGCTGGCGAATTGTGGCACTTCCAGCTGAAAAATCCATCTATTAAGCCATTTCAAAAAGATTGAAGGAATGCCAAGTGGTATATCACATATCGCCAAGAGGCTGAAAAATATTGAGATATACATTTTACAGTATCGCCTAGTTCAGTTGTCGACAACACAAATGTTAAGAAGAACCATTTTGCCCTTTTAACAAAAAAAATCAAAGCACCTTGGGAGCCACAACATTTTAAGTCCATTTTACCACCTTGGCTGTAAATATGTCTCTGTGTGTACTAATGCACTGGGTACCGACTAAAAATATAATATAAACGGAAATGCAGACTTACTTTGCTCTGCCTTAAGCTTTAGCTCAGCTATAGCTGCTTTTCTCACATCTCTGGCAGGAAACCTTTCCTCAAAAGTAGAACCGTTTCTTGTAAAATGTCTCCCAGCATTCAATTTTTTACAAGGCTGAAGTCAGCTCCTCATTTGCCAGCTTCTTGACCACATTTTCCCATTCCACCTTAAATGGTGCCTGAGGCGCCAGAATGTAACTGCTGCACCATTTAAGGTGGAACGGGACAATTCGAATGAGAAGCTGGCAAACGAGAAGCTGACTACAGCTTCGCGACTTTTTAGTGTTTGACAGTTTCTCACTGAATATTAAACGTATCAGGAAACCAGCTGGAGTGCTTATAAATGCAGATACGTCCGTTCGTCTCCAAATGATCGATGCTCGTCTTAAATCTTTCTCTTTGGATTTTCGTTAGCTACTAGCTAGGTGAGATGGTTGTCTGCATTGGTATGGTGACCAGCAGCCTGCAAGCCAATCTTCAGGGTTAAAGGGTGAATTAGCAGAAACTGCATTAACTCCAGTGTTTAAGACCATTTATTGTTTAAATTGTGTTGAACGATCAGCAGAGCTTTATTTTACTGCAAAGGAGGATTATGTTATTTTTACCTAAATATCAAATTCTGCTGTGGAGCCACAACAGTAAAAGAGCTGTAAGCTGCGTGTTGCCGACCCCTGGCCTATTTATCTAGTATGAGTATAGCATGTTTACATAATTATATATATATATATATATATATATATATATATATGTATGAACCATTATACAGAAACTCGAAAGCTACATCCCAGCATATCTGACAACAGAGAACTGAATGAGGACAATTCGCATTAAACAACTCAATATAAACTATGAGCAAAAGAGTAAATTATTGCCAGAGGTGTAAAATTCAGGTCCAGAAAGTAAAAATCCTTCCCAGGCTTTTTGTTTCACATCAGTCCACTCTGAATGACTTTATCGGTGACGATTTTCATGTTTGTTCAGTCCTTAGTTTGAATACATGGCATGTAGTAACATTGTTAAAAAACTGATTGCCCTGTCAATAAAGCACCGCATTTTCTTTTACCGCCTCTATCTCACAAACACAAAAACGTCAATTCATTTATCTGCTCTGCAAGTTTCACCTTTCACATTTCACTGACCATTTTAGCAGCAGTGAGCTATCACAAAAGTGAGACCAGTTTGGTGAGGCTGACGACCAGTTGACCCTCAAATTTTGTTTATAACCTCACGATAGCAGTAGATGAACTTTTTTTTACTATATGGCAAATGAAGCAGAGAACAAGACAGATATTTTGCCTAAGTTATATGATACTCCTGTCTCAGAGTACTGGTCCACACCCTCAACTTCCTCATCTAATTGCTAAACAGCATATATACTATCTTTTTTCCTTCTCTTATAAAGCTCCTATTTTGGAGATGAAGGTTTCTCACAAAAACCTCAATGCACAGAACTGTTAAGGCACAATCTTAATTCATAACATGACAAAATATTAGCCTTTGAAAAAAGGAATGGTTTGTCATTTATCCAGCTTTAGAATATAGATTATTTCATTTTTAGCCAAAATGTAAATGATACACAACTAATTCAAAACATTTTTTTAAATTAGGCCTCATTTCCAAAGGCAGCAAGGCGCTGATCTAATTGTTTCTACGGATATTTCATTACCAGTCCTCAAAGATAAAGACATTCTGGCTTAATTGAATTTAAATCAATGTTATCTCTTTAAAGATCATGTGACTCACCACTCTCGCAGGGTAACTGATGATTCTTCATATACAATGACTCATGATGAGCATTTGTTGACTAGATGTGGTGGTAAGGGCACTACTATATATTGCGAACAATGCAAATAATAAAGCCAGGATTACACAAAGACAGTGATGCATTTACACAACGGAGATGATCTGCTGATCAAGCTTTGTTGGCACAGGCTAGAGCACTGAAGATGGAAAAAAAAAAGGTCAACTGCGAACTTCTGAAGTATCTAAGACACAGTGGAGGCAAAAGTATCAACAGGAAACCTTGCACAACAGCAAATACTAAGCCATATTAGGACCACGTGCTTTACACAGGCGTGTCTCACATTTTCCACAGACAGCCGAGAGAACCTTACATGTTTAAACAGTCAGAAACAACAGGACAGCACAAGACGGACCACCCAGGAGGAAGCGCTGCATGAGAGAGAAGAACTGAAACACGTGGCCACTTGAAACGCAAGAAGTGGATCCCTAACTGTGGGCCGTACAGTTAGAACTAAAATTGCATTAGCAGTACAGCTGCACAAGATAAAGCCTTTACAATACAAATACCACAGAAAGCTGCCATATGCAAATGAGCCCCCTAACCAAATCATAGTTTTGTGCTCTAAGCATCCTGACCAATGTCGGTTCGAAATGAGGGTTTCTGTGGGTTTTTTGATGATGTTCACGTCATCCAACAAAGCTAAATTATTTTGGTCAAAACAATGGAGTCAAAATGTACGTTTTTAAACTTGTTAGTCCTTGAGCAGAATTCATCATACCATTAAAAATAATTCCATAGTGATTCTTGGTTTCCTGTCCACAGTGATCTAATTCCGTTGACTTAAACCATGTCACATTACTTACTTCCTTACTTCTTCAATGCATTTCAATATACTGCAAGGTGTACAGCATTCGAAACGTATAGCAACACAATGATAAATAAATACTACAGTCCAGAAAAACTGGACATGCTGAAAGAAATTACAACAGGCTGCTTTTCACTTTTGTTAGTTGTACACTAATGCACCAAAAATGATGTGTCCTTCTCCACTTAACTACATGGAGCACACACTGTGCTGGCTGGACAGTATGCAGGACTATAAACTATAAAGCTTGTACATGGCTAAACAGGCACTGCAGTTCTAAATACAATACAGCGCACTTCAGGGCCTGGTTTAAGTTTGTGAGATGAGAGCCCAGCTGCTCATCATTCTGTTGCCTGACTAAAACAGTAAGAGGTTGTTAATGAGAGTGCTTCCAGCAGTAAAATACACCTGAGACGTTTCTAATGAGTCAAAGATCACAGGCACCAAGCTTCCCACCACTCACTGAACCTCAACCTATGAATACATTAGTCAAATGCGTGTTTATAGCTCAACCAAAAATATGTGTGTGGGGGGGAAATAGACTAAACATAGGTGTAAGTCATTAGAGCTGAAGAGCAAAACTAATGTTTCCCCTCAGCTTGCAACTTAAGCTAGCTAGATAGATAGCTATATTTATCAGTAGCGTAGCTTAACTGTTTATTAAACAATGTTAATATTTTCCTTCAAGCTGAGGTACTTTTAAAGCCATGTCCATTTTATTTCCTCTTTTAAAAACAGAAGTGGTTGGTTTAGTGGGAAACAAGATAATCCTTACATTTTCAAAACAAACAAAAAACAGTATAACTGAAAGGACGTCCAGGTAAGAACAGTGCTGCAGCTTTACTTCAGCCTTTTTCAGTCGTTTGCTACGTTCACACGGCAAAACAGCTACTGTCTCCTAAGACTCCGAATGCAGCCATAAACCGCTTGTGGTTTGTGATACAGAAGGGAAACACAAATGTGCGGTGCAGGAGGGCATCAAGAGCAGGATTTGGCAAACGCTGTTCTGAGTCGCACACGTTCACGGTTCTGCTATCACTGAATGAGGAACGGCCACAAATACGTTTCAACGCAGAGATAACTGTGCTAGCTTAGCGAAACGCTTCAAAACATGCTCTGATATTTAAATGTTTCACATATTAACACACATTAGCAACATTATCGGGTGAGAAAAAGTTGTAATGATCAACAGATTGTTTCTGAAGAAGAGAGTGAGGCAAGTGTAAGTAACGAAGCGAGCAAGCTTATTATGTGGCTCACATTCCTGCGTTTTCCTTAAACTGTGCAGGCTAACGTGGATGTAATCGGGTTAAACGTGCAAAAACAGCCCACAAATGCTGGTAGGCGGGTACTTACCTACCTGCCATGAATCTTCTGCCTCTAGTGTAGCGGTAACATGTAAGGCTGAATCTTTTTTTCTTTAACTTTGAGATATCCTGTTAGGCTCTAGTTGCCTTGAAGTGCAGTAGCAGGTGATCTTTTCAAGTCAACATGACCGAAAAGGCAACTGAAGAGGGAGAATTCCCGAATTACATTGCACGTTCATCCCTTTCTGATCCACGAACATAAGATTTGTTGATCTGGAGGAGGCGGGCCGAAGCGTCAGCTAGTGGTTGGTGGAGGCGGTGGGGTGGGGGAGGGGGTGGGGTGGTCTAAGGCTACGTTCACACTTCAGATAAATGTGATTTTTGTTTTTCGAAGATTTTTAACGTCTGGTGCCCGCTTTTTACCCAGCGATAAACTCGGACGTGTTTGCTTTAGTTTATGGCATCGATACAGTGGTTGCTTTAAGTGATGACGTAGGCGTGGGCAACGAAGTCTAGTTACGTATTATGATGTCACGGATGTGTAGCGTATCTAATGATGCTAAGAAACGTTTGAATCTTATCTCATTTCAAGCCACTTGCGAATGAATTTGGGTTTTGATGGGATTTGTAAGAATCAGACCGCAGGCATTACAGTTTTATTTGTTTGTTTGTATGTTCTTTGCTTTGGTAATAGATCAGGCTTTGTAAAATCATAAAAATAAGATTCCAATCAGATGTGCAAGTAAATCAGATTTGGGCTGCTTCAGCCCTTCGTGTACTAAGTCTAACCCTAACAGTTATTTTGCTGCTCCCTCATACTGGTAAAAAAAAAAAGATCATAAATGACCTATACATGCCTCCCAACCCCCAGAATGTGTTTGTGGTCACTGTGAAGTTGGAAAATCTTTACTGCATGTTTCATTTGAGAGAGTGTATTAGTCCAAAGCAGTTAGTCCAATTTTGTGCAGAGCTGTACATGAAATGCTGAATGAAAATCACTGTATATTTTTTGAATGTGGCACCTCTGAGGCTATTTGGCAGCTTCTTATCAAACCTAAGAAAAGTTTAACATTTCGATTCATATCATAGGTAGTGAAAAAATCTTCTGGTGTCGTGATATTATATTTCTGCCATATCACCCACCCCTACACCACAGAACATAAGAAACAAAGAGGACACTGCGTGTAGGGCAGCCCTGTCGCAACAATGACACTGCCAAAATCTCAGAGACGAAAACAGAGAAGTCCACGACATCACTTGTGCCACCTCCAGCTTTTTTTGCTTTCAGTTTATCTCAAGAAACGTCCAGTACATTTCCCTCTCTCCATATAGGTAAAAGACCTGTCCCTGAAGAGCAAGGGGTGTGTGTGAAATGATCAGGCTTTAGCTGATATTAACACTAGTGATTTTTTTCACGAATCTCTTACTGAGAAATTAAATGCCTCGGTACAGTAGTCTACAATTAGGTTTTTTACAGACCTTTTGTAAAACTACTCACCACTCTATGCATGACAGGCATGAAATTGGATGCATTTAGTGCTGTCCAATGAGTCACAGTCTTCAGAATTAGCATTTTGTGAATGCATGGCTTTTTCAGTTTGAGGAATTTGTTTTTAGAAGGGCCTGCAAAACACAATATCTCATAATGGTTATATGATTCAGACAGTACTGAAGTGAATATTCAGCATGTACATGCAGTACTGCTCATAAAAATAAAATCTTAAGTTAAAGGGGAATTCCATCAATTTTTTTACATTTTTGCTCAATTATTGAGACATAAAGTTATTTGAAGTGGTTTCATGTGAAATACACAATTCTAGAGGAACATACCTGATTTCTTCTATAGTGTGTTCAAGAATTTTTTAACCATACCCATAATGCACTGCGTTGTTTGTAAGTAATGAGCAAACCTATATAACGTGAGTGGCCAAAATGGTTTATACCATCAAAAATTCTGTTCTCTATAATAGTGTTCTATACAGTGATCAATATTTTCAAGGTAGGGTATAGTGTTCAGGGGACTATTTTAAACATGGCATGGGTTTATTTTGTTAAGGAATCATATGTAAAATTGTTTAATATCTCTAAAAGTTACCTCACAGAAATCTATTACATGAAATGGTTTCAAATATGACGCCTGGTTCATTAGACATAAGTTTATGGCAGTTCTGGTTCTGAGAAATGCTTTTGGCCTAAAATTTATGCCAGACAGGTATGCAAGACATTTGTATGGCAATATAGTACCCAAAGGATTTTATGTATTTATTTATTATTTTTTTTTGGTTTACCACTATTTTACCATGATCAACATTGCATCATTATATATGAAAACTCAACACGTACATTTTCTGCGGCCCAGATGATCAGACTTTTGGGATTTGAATTGGGACGACTTGATACCTTATTTTCTCTGAGTACTGCTTAGCAGTTAGGAGCAGTGTTTTAGATTAAAACACTACTATCATCAAATGTATGTAACTTTTTGTCAATATGGAGGCGCGTCAACATGTGAAGCAACAGAATATATAGTAGGACTTTTATTTTGAAAAGTGGCTGGCCATGCCATAATGCAATACCACATCTCCGTCCTGAAATCTCTCGTGGTGGATTCATCTCCGAGCGCAGGACAGTCATGGCTTTCCAGTGTCAGAGAGATAGTTATATGAAAGAAGTATGTGAACATACCCTACTGACAATATATACATAGTACTAAAAAGCTCAGCACGTCTAAATTTCTAGTTATGCTTGGCTAAATAAACAGTGCAGTTGCTTCCTTAAGATATTAACGTTAGCTAACTGAGTACTGTCAGTTTATGGTACCTAACTTTAGTTAGTTAACTGGACCTATATATGCGGGCTAGTCTGTCCGTCTCTTCACATACATTTTAAATGGCCTGCTTAGCTGACAGTAGCTACTCTTTTAGTTGTACTTGTGTGCACTGAAAGCACTGGAAGTGTTGGAGTTAGTTAGCCAGGCTGGCTAACAGATCTCTGAGTGTTTTTGTTTCTGTTTCTTTCTAGTTCGCCACCTCTGTTGTGTCCTGTTCTGCAGCTGAGCTAAAGTTGGAGAGCAACGGGAAGAAAGAAAAAGTGAAGGGTTTCAATGTGATATTAAAAGATACTATTCTTTTCCCTGAAGGAGGGGGGCAGGTAAGTTTATCCCCCTTTGGGACTTGATCCAAGAAACTAGGCTAACAGCTGTGCTGATAGCTAACGTTAGTATTAATTGGGTGAAGCTGAACTAGTACAGTCTTTCTGCAATGGATGTTAAACTCAGCACATGAACTCTTTTGCAAAGGGGAATGCAATTATAATAGTTTTTGCGGCCACACAAAATTTGTGAAGTCTCCATCAATGGGCTCTTTATAGTTAACTGAAGTTTCATGTCAAATGACATTTACACTCAAGCCTGTATAAACAAATAAACAGGCAGATTCACTCATGTTGTGAACTGTTACACAGTCTGATGACCATGGGACAATTGAAAATATTCCGGTTCTGCGAGTCACAAGGCAAGGACCAGAAGCAGTGCACTTTGTCAGCTCTCCTCTGAAGGAAGGACAGGAGGTCCAGTTGAAGTTGGACTGGGAACGGAGGTTTGACCACATGCAGCAGCATTCAGGTGAACACGGAATAGACATTATTTTACTACACATAAAATACTTTTGCTTTTAACCACTACAGTAAGTACATCAGTGGTCAGTGTTAAAAGGGGTGGTGACCTTGTTTTCTGCTCCTTTTTTTTTGATCAGGACAACATCTGATAACTGCCTTGGCAGATACAATGTTTGGATACAAAACAACCTCATGGTAAGGTTATCTTTAAAATGTAATACATAAAAAAACAAGTTTTTGTTAATGGCTAATTAACAACTATAATAAGTGGTTTTACAAGTTCACACCATAGTATATTTATAAAGCACAGTGAACATAAGACAGGCAGAAGCTTAAATGATAGATAATTTATTAATTTTAGATTGCCATGAAACAGCTAAATCAGATGTGATTGTAAACGTTTATGTGCCTAGCATATATGTATCCATAACCACATTAGCAGGTGAATGTAAAGTTATGTGCAGTAGGATTATCCACTATGTTGTCCGTGCATGTAAGATGGAAAGAATGGAAATTAGGTTGCTCAATTATGAGTTGTAGTTAAGGGTGTCATGATATGCAAACTTTTCAACACATATTGTCATTTTTGCATCACAATATGATACATTTTTCTATATAACTGAATATAACTTTTAGTTATGTTTGGTAATTCACATTTTTTCTAAAAGTTTGAAAGACAACAGTGCTTGTTGAAGGAATAACTGGCACAAGTTATTTTCTTAGTAGATGTCAAATAAATGAAAAATAAGTGCAATATCTATATAAAACTAAACAAAAATGTGAACTATAAAGCTACATATCAGTATTAAATGAACTAAGCATTACTAGTTCATTTACAGTTTAATCTTTTGGTTCTATACAAAGTGTGGCCCTTACATCTGGCAGAAATGAGTGTGAGATGTTGCCCAATCACTCCCAGCAAACTGTGGAATTCATAACCGAATAGAGATGGACTCTACAACTGAATAGCGGTGAATCCCATGGGATGAAATAGCTGCTAAGACACGTGTTTTCTCCACAAGACTGGAGTTGGTTGTTGGTTTCCTGTTCGCCAGCTTCTTGTAAAAAAAAAAAATCCTTTCCAATTTAAAATTCGAGCAAGAAGCTGGCTAACTTTAGCTTTCCATTTTCTCCTCACTTTGCTAACTGACACTTTTGGGTAATGCCTTCACAAATGAGCATATCTCAGATGTTAGAATGGGTATTTGATCCTTGCATTAAGCAACGTATTATGCACCCACTGTATGTTTTAAAGTTTTTGTTGTGTTACAGGGAGTTGGGGCGGCAGCGCAGCAGTATTGAGCTGGACACAGTCACTGTGAAGGCGGGAGAGATGGAGGCCTTGGAGGCTGCAGTCAATGAAAATATCCGTGCACATGTCCCAGTTAATGTGCAGCTCCTCTCCCTAGATGACCCTGCTGTGGAAAAGGTGTGTGTGTGTGTGTGTGTGTGTGTGTGTGTGTGTTGTCTTCCGAAACCTAGATATGTTTAGAGCAGTATCTCTTAGCAACAGTCCTGTAGTCCACTATCTCTGTCCTAAACACATCTAATTCAGCTCAAGAAAAATCATTTGCTAATAACTTAATTCAGGTGTAGGGACAACACTGAACTGTGCATCATGATATTTATAAGGCACAGTTTCACCTTTTTCACAATTTTAACTTTTGTCTGAAATTGTTTGGTTAACTGAGAAATACTGCTTTGTGAAATATGGGGGTTGTGCAAGTGGAGCTCTATGGGAATTCTGGTGTTGTGTGTTAAATCCAGTTTACTTATATAGATTAAAAACAGATATGGGCAGTATCGTTGTTTAGTTAGGTTAAGGTTTAGGTTTGATTCGAGGTTAAGTCTAGAGTTAGAGTGACTCTAATGGAAAATATATCGTGATATTCAGTGAACTATAACTTAATGACAGGGTAAGAAAGCATCTATAGCAGATCATCCAAATAAAGTGTAATATGCTTTCTTGCTGCAAACACAAAATATGTACTTGAAATTATAAAGAATGAACAAAATAAATGAAACAAACAAACTAAAGTTATGTGTCTGTGCCTATACACAGGTTAGAAGTAGAGGTCTCCCAGATGACCATGCCGGACCCATCAGGATAATTGACATTGAGGGCATTGATGCCAACATGTGCTGTGGTACCCATGTGTCCAATCTCAGTCATCTCCAGGTCAGAATACTGTGAACTGTAATGTGGCATCTGTATAATACTGTTTACTGTGATGATGAAACTGTATAATATTGCATAATTTAAAGCTACGGGGCAGAATGCCATTCAGTAACGGTCAAATAGTCTGTAATGTAATTATACATATTTCAATACGGTGTGTTTTTAAAAAGAGTGGTATTGTTAAGAAGGATTCTAATTATGCTCAGTTTATTGTATAAGGCTGTTTTTGCTTTATGTAATCAAAAGGTGATTAAGATTCTGGGGACGGAGAAGGGGAAGAAGAATAAAACCAATTTAATTTTCATAGCTGGAAACAGAGTACTGAAATACGCAGAGAAGAGCTACAACACAGAGAAGTCTCTGACAGCCCTGCTAAAGTGAGTCTGTCAACAGAAGGAGGAATTTCGATAATTATTTGTGATTTTAGTGCTTGTTAAACACAGTAATTCTGATCTCTGTTGTCTTTCAGGACTGGGCCAGATGAGCATGCTGATGCTGTGGATAAACTGCAGAAAACGGTCAAGCGTCTTCAGAAGGTAGGTTACTGTAGATGCCTGCGTATGATCAAAAACTATTTTTAATTAAATTACAGTTTTACAAAAATAACTGTATTTGGTTGATATGTTAAACTAAATTACAGAACTCAGACCTTGCATTTGCTAGTGCTGGTGTAATTCAGGAAAAAATGGTGTATTATCTTATTTTAAATAGGTTTATATAGGTTTTATACAGTAGGTGCATCCTGGCACAGCAGGAATTAAAAATAGCTTATGTTTGTGCACACTATATGTTTGCGATCACAACTTCGATGTGTATGACATAAAATCTCAGAAACCATACAACATATCATAAGTAAAATATGATTTTGTTTAACCCTCCTGTTATGTTTCAGGTCAAATTGACCTGTTTCAAAATTTAAAAATACAGGAAAAATATTTTTAATAATTTTTGGAGCATGAAACCTTTTCTGCTGGACCTATGACTGAATTGAAAGGGTTAGTTTGACCGGGAACAGAAGAGATATTCTATTTGTATTTATCAGCATGCCTCTATGAGAGAAAATAGGTTAAAAAATGTTAAAACAGTCTAAATACAATTAAATAAATGTATTGAATGTCTAGTTTTTGCCGATGTCCAGAAAATAAGAGTTGGAAAATGATTTTTAAATGTAAAACATGTATGAAATTAAATGTATGTTTTAGTGTAGAAGTTTTTTTACCCTGAAATGGGTAAAAAATGTTTACACTAAATTTACACTAAATATTGATTAAATTGATATTAATTAAGCTAAAGATAATGTTTATAGAGAAAGCTATATATTTTAGCTACTTTTGAATGGTTAAACATGCATCGGGTCAGTTTGAGAATATTATTGCTGTTGCTTACAGTTGTAGGACCATAATGCCTGGACCATCATGGTACATAGCTAACAGGCCCCCTATGTAATATCCAGAGAAACTTAAGTAACTTAATGTTAAAGATGTACCAAAGCACTGCCACATACAAAGTAAAGAATATATTAAATATATGCCTTACAAACTTCAAAATTCATTGTTAGTAGAGCTGCTGAAATTAGTTTTAAATCTAGTGCAGAAAAGTGAACATACTTTAGTGTTAAGCTAACAGCAGTGTAACATACAATAGCAATTCATTAGCAAATAGCAAATCATTGGTTTCCAAGCACAATGTGCCTTATGGAGCCAGCAGAACACAAATGATGGGCAACGTTCTTAGAATGGTCTCTATGTATATTAGAAGTGGTGTCTCAAAAGAAGATGTCTGTCAAATTTGCACACTGATCTTTTGACCTTGGTATAGTAAGCAGCATTCAAATAAATATATATATCTCGGAAACTGTACACAATTTAGACATAAGTTGCATTTGCATAGTTGTTAATCTCAATGAATTAAATAATTATTGTATTTTACTCTGAGTACACTAGCATTTCATGTTAAAATCACTAAAATTTCCTCTTAGAAATGATGCCGCACTCATTTCCATAGGCGATGGCTTCCTCTTCAGCTCAGCTAAATAAAACATGTTTGGCCGTACTGCTTTACAAATGAGCATCAACATTTTATGCAATGTTAGCTGTATGTATACTGTACACGTACAAGTTTAAGCTTAAGGCGTAACTGTTTCTTTATAGATGAAGTCAGTATGTTTGTAAACATAAATGTTGCCTATGTTTCCGGGTGGATAATTTGCCTCTAGTCAGCAATAGAAGCAGTTCTTTTGATAACTATCAGGCCAGGGAACAGGATCAGAAAAGGTAACCAAGAACATATTAGTTCAGGTTGAAGTTTTCCTGTTTTCCAGCTTTCAAAAGTTGGTGGAGTTAATGTGAATGCACTGTTATCTTAGAGCTTAAAATGACAAAAATTAAAAATTAACCGCACACAGTTCTGTTAATTGTGATGAAATGGGAAGATCCATTTAAAAATAAAATTTAATAGCCAACATGCATCGGCTCAACTTTAGTAGCATACAGGTTTGTCAATATCAATGAAAATCCAGCATCTTTTGTGTGAAATATTAACTAATAAATGTGTAGAGGTACACTAGTTCACAAAATCACTGAAAACATTTTGGTTTTTTTCCTAGTACCTTGGTTAAATAACTATGAAATAACAATCAGAATTCTTACAAAATCCTGTTGTTACCAGTATTATCTGCCCAGAAGTAATTTCTTTGTTGTTAAAGGTGAGTATGTGATACTACTTACCCTTGTATTCAGCAGTGCATCCTCTGTCGCCAATCTAGGTCTTTGATGTGTATATCTGTCACTTTGGTCTGTTTGCGTTAAAAGGTTAATGTGTTTTCTCTGCAGAGTAATCTCACTCTCCTGCGAGACATGGCTGTTCTCATAGCACAGAACTTCAAGAACCAACCAGACAAAGACAACTTCTTCAGCTTGCACAAGTGTGTACCCATCTGTACATTTACAAATTAAGGTTACAAGATATTGAACAAACTTAATACATTTAAAGAGTTTTTTTATGCTGAAAAGCAAAATAATATTTTGTCTCTCTGTCTTCATAGCAAAGACGGTGACAACGAGTTCATGAACATCATTGCCAATGAGATTGGATGTCAAGTGGGTTGTTTATTTTTGTTGTTGTTATGTATTTTCACCTCAAATAGAATTGTTGGCATAAGCTTTACAATATACTGTGTACTTATTTTCTTCCCAACATGAATATTCAGTTCATTAACTGTAATGGTGTGACTTTTCAATGGTCTTTCTCCACAGGACACAGTGGTTTTTCTAACGGTGGGAGAAGAGAAAGGACCAGGGCTTTTCCTGCTTGCAGGCCCTGAAAATGTTGTAACTGAACTGGGGCCACGGTAAGACAAATAACTGTCAAAGTCTTGGTGCAACACTAGGGCTGCAACTAGTCTTATAGATTAACCTTTCTCCTAATTGATTAATTTTGCTGTTATGCCATCACACAAAGTCATGGCTACAGCCAAGTTGGGGTGACCTAATTGCAGTTGAGTTGCTCCTCGTCAGTGATTGCTTAAGCACAATCAAGACAGGCCTTAGTAGGCTGTAAAGACATACCATGGCTCATCAGTATGAATGTCACTCGTTCCTCATATATCATGATGTATTTATTGTCTAGCTTCATCTTTGTATTCTCTATGAAAACACTATATGCTAGCAAACGGAATAGTTTTGTTATTGTACAACATTCAAAGGATTCTACAAAATGAGATAATGCAGTCTACCCTGGCTTTGGGACTCATCTACTGTTCAATCAACAAGCAACAAGCTAGAATATTTCCATTTATAGTGCAACAAAACAATAGAAGCGATATCACTGCAGCAATTCAGCCACGTGCATCATATGAACATCGTAGAGAGGGGGAGCAAACTGTAATCCATTGAGGGGCCAGTGTCTAGCACAATTGAGTGATTTTCCTGCTCTTAACATGGTAGCTAAACCTAGTAATTGCCAACTGCCAGGTTGAATCAGGTGTGTTTGAGTAGGAGGAACTCTGGCCCTGTTATAGAGCATTGCAAGATGATTTTTGAGCATTGATGCAGTTGTGTCTATGTATTCACCTGCAGTGTGATGGAGCTACTGCAGGGAAAAGGTGCAGGAAAGAATGGGCGTTTTCAAGGCAAGGCCAACAGCCTGGCTCAGAGAGCGGAGGCCGAGGCTTTACTACGGGAGCACAGTCGCCGACGCAGCGCAGGAGAGGAGTGAGAGGGTTTCACCTTCAGTTAGTTCAGACTCTCACATACTGGTGAATAATACAGTAAGCAAATAAAGCCATAGGCCCAAGCAAAGGAATGCATAATACCACAAGTCAGTTCAAATGGAAAATAGTACTAATTTAAGATAATGATAATTTAATTGAATAGATTGTTGAATGTTTGTTTTTTTTAAACTCTTCATACTGTTAGTGAATGCAAAGAAACGCAAATGTCATACTAGTCACTACCCATGTACCCAGTCACAGCCATTCTGTAACTGTGTAAGTAACTGCAAATCTAATTCTGTATTCAGCGTCAAAATGAGTAACAAACCTTAGTTAAAAATAAATAAATTATAGATAAATTATTTTTTTAAGTTATGCACAGTGTAATGTGTTGCAGACAGAAATAACTTTAATTGGAACAGTAATCTGGTGATTTTATCATCACTTTAATGGTAACACAAAGCTATAATAGTAGCTATCTCTTAGGGCTGGGCGATATTGTAAAATTACATCATGATACTTCGAGATATTTTCACAATACACAATATGCATCACAATATTTGTTTTTCCTGGGCTTGACAATATTGAACCGACAGCAAGACATAATAAATAAATAAAATTAATAAAAATACTGTCAAAACTATGAACGTAATGTTTTTTATTTCATGTTTCACATTCTCCTATGCACCAAATCTTATTTTATTATGAAATATGCAATTGTTAAGTGTTTTTAAGTATTTATGTTTTTAGTAGGCTCAGAAAAGCATATTGTGAAAGTTTTTCAGGCAAAATCTGAATAATTTTGCTCATATTCACAGTACATAACTGTACTAGTTGCACAGTTGTGCCCCCTTGATAGCCACACTCACACATTTGTGTATGATGTGTGATCTGCTCACATGTTAAATTTGGTGAAAGAGCATAGTGTAATCAGTGAGGTTCTCAACTGGATATTACTTGAAGAAAGACATGGAAGAAGAGAGCAGCGTGAAGTGATAGTTTTGTTTTAAATGTTTTATTAAAAATGAAAAAAAATTCAAAAATAGAATTTGACAGAATGCACTTGCAACAATCACAGCTATACATACACAGACAAACATAAGGAATTTGGAGATGAGGGAAGTATTTTCTCTTTGAAGGAAAATACTGTTTACATCTCTATCAGTTCTTAAAAATGAACCTCCTCTAAAAGCATTTATGTGCTTGGGCTCAATGCCAAGCCTTTCCTCAGCACACCCTAAGGGCACTAAGACATAAGTTATGAGATTAAATAGAACAATAATCTAAAAACAACATCATCGTCCTGAGCAATAAACAACGTCTTAACAGTGCTTAAGTAAGGCTTTCTTCTATTAGGATAGAAATGAAGTCTCTTGTATTGCAATGCAAATGTGCAGAATACTTGCAAAGGTAGGCTACATGTTGGTGTTTGACGTTGAGCTTGCTACTATTGATAAAGAGATGGACTATGAAGAATGAAGCACCTTCAAATACTGCTAATAGTTTGTGTTAGCTCAGTGGTTCTCAACCCTGGGCCTGGAATGTTTTGTTTTGCCCTGTTTGTTTTTGTTTTCCCTACTCAAGCACACATGATCCAACTTGTCACTTAATTAAGAAGCCCTGACCAGAAGTAGGGCAGACAAAACAACATGTGCAGGACAATGACACTGCCCCAGGACAAGATAGAAAACCCTATGGAAGCCTCATCGTTTGTCCTTCTTAAGTCCACTCAGACTTTAGAGCTGCTTCTTGCTCGGTAAAGTCAGGGCTCCGGACACGCAGTAGGGGATTATACTGACTGTGACCAGAGGAACAGTTGCACTCTTGCAGAAGGAAAGCAAGTAGAAGAGGGCGGCTGTGTGGGTAGGGGGCTTGATGGAATCGAAGAGGTGCAGCAGAAGAAGAGAGCTTACGATGCAGCTGATCCTGAAGGGGGCAGTGCCGCTTTTCTTGCTCTCAGTGTAAAGTGGTGAGTGAAGCCCAAGACCCAGACCAAAGAGGGTGCCCATGTTGCGCAGCAGGCTAGCGAAGGGCGTGGTGTCCATGTGGACCCAAGCTGGGTTGACGCACCATTTCTGGGCCTTTTCCAGGGTCCACAGCAGGTCCACACCCACGGCTTTTAGGAGCAAATAGAAGCCCACAGCAAAAGAGAGCAGGAACAGTGTGATGTTGAAGTACTTCTGCAGGTTGGCCCGGTACATCCACTGCTGTCTGTTGAAGACTTCGGCCACAATCATGCCTGTAAAAAAAGATGATAAATGAAGTTTTTGCTAGGGCTGTGTATTCCCAATTAGGTCATGATACACTACTTATTGTGATGCATCTGTCACAGTTCGATACATCACAATGATTATTGCTGAAGACACATTTTGAAGTAATGGGACTATAGAAGAAACCTTAAAAGACTAGTAGGTACTTCAACTACGTTGAATTACACAGATGGGAAATGGTTCAATTGATGCAAAATTATGTGAATGGTGTCGCAATTCCATGATTAATTGTAGAGTCGGTACAGCTTTAGTTTTACCCTATTTTAACCCTTTTTCTACATGCTGTGTTCTTCTTGTGTAGTTATATATAGTGCTATAACTGACCTGAAATAACACCAGCAATCACTTGATGAGGGAAGTGGGCACCAATAAAGACCCTGGAAAGACAGACGCAAATCTGGACGGTCCAAAAAAGCGCCCAGAGGCTACCTCGCAAGTACCTAACCCAAACAGATGGAAGAAAACAGCATAAGCATCTTGGGCAAACTCTTCAGAGTTGATCTAATTAAAGGATTGTTATGCGAAGACCATGCCTGCCATGACTAAAATTAATTAAGGGTCATCTTACAGGGCTGTGGTGGACATGGTCTTCTTGTTGCTCAGCATGATGGCGAGGATAGAGGTGACCATTGCATAGTAGACTCCAGCAGCTCCCATGGCGTGTCCAGATGGACTACCTGCATCAGCAAAACACACATTCAGTTGCAGTTCATTTATTAAAAGACCCATATTTTTCTTGTTATTCCCCCAGTCACTTTGCTACAAAGTGCAGAAACAACACTCTTTATGAGTTCACGGTGAATGAGAGGCTGAATTGGAGGTCAAGGCCATAGTGAATTCAAAACAAGTTATTTTTGCAGGTTTCCCATGTGTGGACTGATGAATTAACAGCACAATTAGAAACTTTAACTTCATTGTTTACACTGTAACTCCTGTATTTAAAAAACAAAAAGCTATGAAAATTTGTTTTTGCATTGCAGTTCAGTGCAAAAAAAAAACAATTGGCAAAGAGCGTTCTGTATGGGATAAGAGTGCAGATAAAGTGTGTATTGATAAGTAGTGGTGATAAGTGTGTTAGGGTGTTTTGGGCGCACCTGGTCCTGTCTCACAGGTCATGGGAAACTGCTCAATCTGTGGCTTGGAGGTGTTGCTGTAGTAGGGTGTCTCATGGACCCACCAGTATGGGCGCTCTCCAAAAAGAATCCTGTAGTTCATAAATGAATAAAAATAGGGGAAATGTGTAATAGATATAAAGATATAAAAGAATATATATATATATGCATTACATATTACATAATATGCTACTTAATAATTAACACAATAATAAAAAAAATCAATCTGTTGTTTACATGAATAATTTGTCAAACATGACGTACCATTTGAAGACCAAGTTAAGCCAGTCTCCCACCACAGCCACCCAGATAAGCTTGATGCCCACGGACTCCCTCAGATGGAACCAAATGGGGAAGAAGACAAAGAAGGTGTTGCGCAGGTCTGCGGCAAAGGAGACGAAGAGGAACCAGCCCTGGGCGTCGCTGTAGTGAGTCTGCAGATACTGGGTGGCGCTCACCCCGTAGCCATGCATAGCATCCATGACTGCATTCATTCTGAAGGTTTTCTCTTTAAAGCAAGCTGTCTTGATTAATGAGACACAACTGATAGTCTGGAGCTTACCTGCCCTGGTTTATATACCAGAGGGCCCACCACCCAAACGCATGGACAACACTGATCTTTGGACCTTGCACATGTGTAATAAAACGCAAAGGGGGGCAGAAAAAAAGTTAGACGTAGTTAACAGCAGTGTTTGTGCAAAGGAGATAGAACACAAACAAGTCGAGGGAACAGAAAGAAGTTATGGCAGGGTTCAAACTCACTTCAGAATCAAAATCGAGGGTTTTGATCTTAAATTAGTTGTCATTTTAACGGACTGCACACTTTTTTCCTATAGATTTGTAATTTTAACATTATACTTTGGCTTTCAGGTTTTCAGAATCAGACGATTGCATTTATAGCAATTTTCATGGGTCGTATTTGATTCATTTATAGTTTTTGTTACAGCATGAATTGTCATTCATCAGTTTGTGTCTTTGATCAGTTTTTGTCTACAGTTATCCTTTGAGGAATCTATAAATCGGAATGGATGTTACTGATAAATAGTTCAAAAGTTACATAAGGGTACCAATCAGAAAATGGAAAAAGCAGACAGTGAGGATAAATCTCTTAATCTTGGTAATATGGATCATCACAAAATAATGAATAAAATGAATGACCATTAAAATCACTTGCAACACTTCTTGCAACAAACCTGGACACAAATTAAGATGAACATTCTATGTAAATTAACATGGAAAATTTTGCTGTGTGTCCATAAACTGGCATTTTTTTATATTTTTGGAATTTTCAATTTGCATTTGAATTCTGCTAGCTTTCCCTATAAATATGCGGAATTGTTTATATAGTGACATTTATTTTATGCAGTTTTCCATTGTTTTGCACAAACATTTAGCATTTTGCATTTGCATTTCTGCCAGTGGTGCTACTGTTTTAAGTTGGTGTTATCAACACTATTCCTTCATTTATTCCCTTATGTTTTTGTAAATAAATTGTTAGCAATTAAATTTTGTGTACATAAGCAGTTATGTAACTGAATCTCATGAATAAGACTGCAGTTTCTGAAACTCTTCACTCTTAGATAAAATAATACCTACTCGCCACTTTATGAGTTTTCACACTTTACCACCACCTGGTGCTCTTCATGTTGCCTAAACTCTAATCTGGGATGTTTAGCCAGGCTTCATTTTTTAGTGCAAGGCAGAAGTGGCAAAAACTCTTTACCTTTCTGCAGCTTTGCATTCACTCCTCAAACCGCAATCAAGAAACACAATAAATTAAATGAATTATTTTCATAGCTACATTATTTGCTATTGAAAGCAGTGGTATTTGGTGCGTTTAATGTAGATTTTGCACATGTTCAATTCTCCAAAAAGAATTCTGCATATAAACACAATGTGTTTTCCATGTGTTTTGCGATAGAATTGTTGCAGTTCTCTGTCAATCAGTTACTATTGATTCGTATTCTGGTTAGCTTGAGGGAAGAAAGGAAGGGGGCTCATTTCAGTCAAAGTTGAAGTACCTGTCAACAGTCTGTGATGGAGTCACCAGGGCAGTACAGTTTGCAAACAGCATGAAAAAGTATGTACAATTTATACTGGGGCATTTTAACAATAAAGCAGTTTTGAGACCAAAGAAAACAACTCCTGTGGAAAATCAGAACATGTCAACAACCCAGACTAATATGTCATTATCTGTCATACTGACAGTTTGAAAGCTGAGAGACATCAGTAACAAAATGTTCTCAGGATGCGTAATTTAGTGAATTGGGCCACTTTATGATGGCTGCATTAATGACATCATCACTTTGTGTGTTTAAGCTCACAACCAATCATAGAGCCCTCTGTTTGGTTATCAGCACTGGCCCCTGCAGTGTCACAATGTGTAAAAGGTCATGGACCCTGAAGAGTCCTGGATACCCCGAGAGTCCATGCAAATAAAGTCATCCAGCCTTGAATAAAGTCCAGCTGGGGGGGGGACTACAAGATCCAACAGGTAAAGCCAAACAAGCTGCCAAAGTGCCTCCAGTGTGCTGGCCCATCGTCTTCCTAGCCCTGCATCAGTGACCCATTGCTGGGCAACTGCCCTGCAGCTCTTGTGATAGACATGGATCTGCTCCACAGTTGGGGAGTGAGTCTTGCTGTCCACTTGCAGACAGAGTACAGTGCCTATGAGAGTTGGTTTCAGGTGGTGTCTTCTGTGGCAGACCTCCATACCACTTTCTTCATCTTCTTCCCCATCTGGTTCCATCTGAAAAGGGACGTTGCCGTCAAGCTAATCTGGGTGGCTGTGATTGGGGACTGGTTTAACCTGGTCCTAAAATGGTAAAATGCTCTGTAACTTGGATTTACTTTATTCCTTTATCAACTGCTTTGATGCATATGGATCTACAGACACATTTTTGGCTTGCATGTGCAGTTTGCAGAAATAATATGCTTTTCCATGAACTCAATGAATAGCTGAAAGCCATTCTTATGGAGTTTGGTTAAAATGTTTTAAATACTTACTGAAAGACTTTTTTGTTTTCAGGGTTCTTTTTGGAGAAAGGCCTTACTGGTGGGTTCACGAGACCAAGTTTTATGGCACTGATGCAGCCCCAGCTCTTAGACAAGTTCCAATCACATGTGAGACTGGACCAGGTATAGTGCTTCAGCAATGCTCTGCAACAGTTGTACTACACTAGGTATAGCTTATCAGCTGATTTCCCATTCATAAATTAAGTCTAGTTGTGGACTAAATTGCAATGTCAGTGGTGATTCTGTATTGAAAATCCATTTTAGTCCTGGCTTAGGCTTAATTTGGGTCATGGGTGGTTCACACTGCATGGTCAGTCAAGTTCCCCTCCAAATCATTATGCAACTAAAATGTTCACGCATGTACTAATCCTGCTGGAAGTGGACTTGTCCCTGGGCTATCTTAATGTCCTTTATCAATGGCCACCTTTGAAATTAAGCTACTGATGATGCATTGATGAGGATTAATTCTTGACCTGATTTATAACCAGTGTGAGGTTATATCAGTCACTCTGGCCTTTGCCCCTCCTTACTTATTCTTTTATGCCTGATCTTATCTTGATAGACAGCAGTATGAGGCATTTGAAGTCACATTGTTTATCTCAGTTGTCTCAACTGTATATCATCATTGTGACTGTATTCGGTTTTCCCTATACAGAAGATCTGACTCATCAATGATGTATTCACCCACTCTACAAATGCTTTTGTCTAACTGGTGAAGAATAGATGCTAACTGTCTCTAATTTCTAAGAACCTCTGATTACTTTCTTTTCTTAAGGGAGTCCTTCTGGTCATGCAATGGGCTCTGCTGGGGTAGGTTATGTGATGGTAACTGCTGCACTATCCATTGCTGCTGAGAGAAAATGTCCCGTTTGGCTCTATTGGTGAGTTGCAGAAAAAGCATGCAGATACTAAAGCAGTACAACCTTAGCATTGCAACAGTACTGCACACGAATGGTCATCATAAAGACTGCATCTGTTACACATATCTGACAGGTTATTACAGATATTGCTTTGGATGTTGTTGGGGCTGGTGGAACTGTTGGTCTGCATGTCCCGTGTTTATGTTGCCGCCCACTTCCCACACCAGGTTATAAGTGGAGTTATCTCAGGTAGGTGGATCTCATTCATGGCTTTTGTGTCCTATGAAATATAATCATTGTATAGCTGTTGAACTTCATGCTAACTCTTGGTTTCCTGCCGTCAGGTATAATTGTAGCTGAGGTGTTCTCCAGACAGCAGTGGATCTACCGTGCAAACCTACATAGATACTTCGACGTCACCCTGTTCCTCCTTGTTTTTGCTGTGGGCTTCTATGTTCTCTTGAAGGTTCTGGGTGTGGATCTTCTGTGGACTCTAGAAAAAGCTCGGAAATGGTGCAACAATCCCACCTGGGTCCATATGGACACATCACCCTTCGCTAGCCTGCTGCGCAACATGGGCACCCTGTTTGGTCTGGGATTGGGACTGCATTTGCCACATGGCTTTGAAAGCAAGTACAGCAGAAGTGCCCCCTTCAGGATTGGCTGTATTGGTGTATCACTGGTTCTCCTGCAGCTCCTGGACTCTCTGACTTTCTCCTCAAATAACCAAGCAATTTTCTACCTTCTTTCATTTGCTAAGAGTACCATTGCTCTTCTAGTTCCCACTACACTTGTTCCTGGAGGGATATCCTTGCTTTTATTGGGAAAGAAAGATGAAAAGACCTCATAGATTAACATTCCAACGGTATGACAAAATGATAAATGACAACTGCTCAATCCAAAAACCTGACCTACAAAAAAACAATGTTTTTTCAATGGTTCTTTAGTCACGAAAGTGGTTCTATATAGAACCATCAACACTGAAAGAACACTTTGCGTGAGTCTTTGCATAGTGAAAGTGTTCTTCAGATTGATGAAGAATATGCTATAGGTGGTTCTATATAGCACCAAAGAGGGTTCTGCTATTGTTACGATGTCAAGCTTGCTACAATAGAAGAACCTATTTGGTTCTAATGGAACCCTTTTTAAAAAGGTTCAATATAGAACCATCTACAGCAAATCCTTCATCAATCTAGAAAAACATTTCACAGTGAAAAGCCCTTTAATCATGCAGGGGGTTCCTTCAGTGTTCATGGTTCAACATAGAACCATCTTTTTCATTAAAGAACGCTTGAAAAAGCATCTTTTTAAAGAGTGTATCTATCTTTGTATCACAGCTGCTGTTTTTTAAGTTAGTATTCTGTATTTGGATTCTGTCAACAAAGACTTAATGTTCAGTTTATTTAGGTCTTCATGCATTACACTTCCACATTTTTTTGAATATACCTCAGAGCCCACATATATATATTATGTCTCTTTAAGATTACTTTAACCCATGATTTCATCTTGCCATTGGTATAAACTCCAATTAAGGTACCTCCATCCATATCTTATCTCTCTGTGGTTCTGAATGAGAGTGGCCCATTCACAAAAACATGACTCTGCCATTCAGAAAACATGTCCAAAGGTCCTTCTATCAGCTCCTGCACTCTGTACCACAGAGAAGACGGTGTTCCTTGCTCTGCCCATTCAGAATTGTACAATGCTGAGTTACTAATTGTTTCTGAGACCATGAAAGTGCATCAGTTACAGCTTCATTCGTTGGTTTAGATCCAGAGCTACAGATAATGGAAATACTCAGGGTTACTAGAGCTTTTATTGTCTTCACATGTTTTTTTAAGGGTTCAAGATGCTAGCAATTAGAATTTAGCAATTTTCTTTGTTTTTTTATTTCCTTATATAAATTCATTATTTTTACACTGTTGGATAGAAACTGATTTTTAGTGCAACTGGTTTTAATACTTTTCAGGATTAGTTGATTTTCATTCAGCCCAGTACAAATTGTGTCTAGTGATGTGGCATTGCAGATTTGTAGGTCATTTATGCCTGCAAATTGCTGCTGTCAGAAGAAAACCTTGTATCTCCATTTTTGTCGTTTTTCAGTTTTTGACATGATTTGAAAATGCCTGTTGGCCTTACATTGTGTATAAATACATGCTTACATTGTGTATAAATTTCATGATAAATGGACTGAAGGAAACAGCCCAAAATGACTTCCGGTTCTATTGACTTACATTAAAAGTAAAGTAGGTTTCTTCTTTCTCCTGTAAAGTTACCATTTTGGAGATATAAGGTTTTGTTCCGACAGGCGAAATGCATGTGTATGTCTGTATACTGTAACAATGGACTGGTTTATCAGCCATTAAATTTGTACTGTAAATTAGTAAAGGAAACTAGTACACTGTGTCAACTGAGTGTCATTTTTTCACATATAATGATGGAGATTATTGTATGTTTAAATGTTTTATAAAATAGAGAGGTAAAACATAAATACAGAATATACGAAACAGAGGTGCACACCAATCCCACACTGTCCAGCAACGTGATCTGTTGCGTTCCTTGATGAAGCAAATTTGAACTGAATGTGAGAGATTGCTCTGTTTCATAGGGTTATTAAGAGTGGCATTGGTGTTACATAGTAAGTGGTCAGTGCTCTTCTGAAAATGTGTGCAATTCCACCGACCATTCAGAACTTCTGCATAATTAAATTGTTAAAACGTAAACAAAGACATTCAGTGTTTTTGATGCGAAATGCTCTGTTCTACAGAAGTTTGTTTACAGTGGTGGTGATAGGAACCAGACGTACAAAGTGTTCAATACTTCCAAATGCTACGTCACAGAAAGCTACACAAATTGCACAAATGGTTTCGTTGTCAGATGCCTGAGACTTTGTTTTACAATAGGTTTTACCCTATAATGTATTTTTGAAAACTCATTTATGGCAGAGAGGTACACGCAGCGTGTTGTAAGGCAAAATAGTCCCCAGAGAAACCTGTTTTCACATTCATCTCTGTTTTACCATCATCAACATTACACATAAAAATTGAGAAGACACATGTAGGTTCACATAGAATGGCTTTAATTGTGCTGTAAACATCTCGACCCTTGGTTCTTATCACCACCACTGTAAGCTTCTCTGCAATGCGACACATCATAACCACTCACAAAACTTTGTTAATATCTCAATGACTGAATAATAGTCTGAAGAATAGAAGAACAGTCTGCTGTTTTTGCCCTTTCAGATCAGTGCTATTAGATCCTTAGCTATTTTACTGCTTTTAGATCTTTGGAAAGACTTAAGTCTTGGGAAATTGGGTCAAATGCAGAAATACCACTATAGTCAATGCTTAGTCTTTCACTATGACACCTCTCTGCTTAAAATCCATGCTTGAAAAACCCTTCTACTCTCACTTCTATGAATATACTTGTAAATCCTTCTCCTGGTGCATTCTTATACGAAGTACCGCAATTAAATATTAACCAACTTGTTGTTCTCTTCATTCCCTTTACCCCTCTTCACTGTGCTCTGCTGTAGCTTCCCCATAAAGGAGAGAGTGTGTGGCAGAGTGGGGGCTGTTTTGGGGACGGGGCTTAGTGGACCAAAGAGCAGCACATTTTGTTTGTGGTACTGGTAGCCTGGAGGACCTGTCCCAGTGCTGAGCGTCCCATTACCTCACAGACAGTGCAAACAAAGCTTATCAGTGTTTTTCACTTCTACATGAAGGTTACGTGCCAAACGTGAACCACTTTTTTTTCTTTTAAACATACTAAACGATTATTGAGTATGTGTTAAGTCAACAGATATGCCAATGAATGTCTTAGTTAGTTGTATTAATAATTAAACCATTGTAGTATAGCATACAATTCCTCATTTATTTCTGTGCTGTTCCTCCCTATTATATAGTTAGAGTAAGTGTAAATGAGACCCAAGGGATGTTTTCGAGGCCATGTGATTATATGACAGTCAGCCCCCAAGTCATGTGTTGTTTTTCCATGGACATGTACACCTCTTATGGTTTCTTTATCAACACTGTACTCCCTCTACAGGTCTATTTCCTCTCTGTTCTTCATTAAAGGTGTAGTCTGGTGTTTTTCAAACTAATCTCCATCTGCTGCATCAGCGTTTGATTATATTTTGATGTGTCTCCTTGAAAAGAACAGATAACTTGCTGCAGTTGCTGAGATCCAGCAAGGAAACGTTTATGCAAACCATATATAATGTGTAATTGGTTTTTCAGAGATGCGAGTAGTTTTACAGAGGGAAGCATGTGTAGTAATTCATCACCAGTCCAATGGGTCTGAGGGGTGAGTCCAGTGAGTCAGAGGGGTTTCGTTCTTTTATATGTATACAGAAACATCAAATTCTGACTGGTAGCCCTGTCATGATTTTTTTCTTCTCTTGTTCATCATTGTAAGCAACTATGAAAGTACAAGCCTAAAGTGGTCAGAGTGGCTGATTAGCTATCTTGCTTCCTGGCAATGTTTACATTGTGGCTAACACTCGCTGCTCGGTCAAAATTATACGCTATATTGTTGTCAACAGTTACACATAATCATGTGTAGAGTCAAGCAAAGATACAGTTTTCATAAGACCTATGATGTGTCTTAATGAATGCATTTACTGCTTTATTTACATTTGTTTGCTTGTTGGAGCTTAAAATAATTGTGAAATCTAGCAAGTGTGGAAAATATTGTGGTTAGCTTAAATAACTTAAATAACATGTCAAATAACTGCAATTAGGTGATTATGTAATAATTGTGACAGGCCTGATCACTGATTCAACAGAGACAGAGATTTGGTTGATAAAAATATCAATCTCTTTGTGTAGTGATACAGGTAGCTAGACAAAGAAGTGGGATTGGTTGGGGGGGTTAAGTTAATGACTGCGTGACCTGCTTCCGCTCAACTGCACTGATTGTAATAAGGTAGTGTAGGTTTGTGCCCTTCACGCACCCTCATAGACACACATTAACATCAGCTGGCCTTGTTGTAGTGAGGGTGGGGGGTCATCGCTGTGGATTGACGTAGTTGGACGCGCAATCTAAGATACAAAAGGGCAGTTGAGCAACAGCAGGCCATGCATGACGCTGCAGGATGCTGAGCTCTGCAAAGATGGGACACTGACAGATGTCAGGACAGGGTGTTTTTTTTATTACAACAAAGGTATGTTCAGTTTTTCAGCATTACATTTGTTTTACAGTAAAACACAGTTCATCTTAAAATATGTTACTTTACAAAGAGCAGCATATTTATTTAGGTAGCCTATGTACACTTAACTATTTGATATCAGTGTTTTACACAAACAAATGTCTCAACATCCTTACAAAGCATTATGGTAGAAAATATACTAAACAAGTGATCAGATATGTAAAGAGTAGAAAAAGAAACAACTATATGCATTTGTTAACCTGCCTTTTTCTACAGCAAAATGACCTTTGAGGAGGAAAAAAATAATTTTTAAGCTAGATGAAAACATTAACAGTTCAAACATTAACAATTCAAACAAACAATTTAAACATTACATATTTAAATTTCTCCTACAGTGAAGATTTACCCTGGCAAAATGTATTCGTTCAGTCACTCTGAAAAGATAAGAATATTAAACATGTCACATATAGTGGATTTAGAGTCACAAACAAAAAAATGATTTTCCATGTTTTTGTTTTATACTTACAAGATCATCTAGATCATCCATAGAGGGTGGCTCTCCTTTCTTTTTCATATCAGAAAGCATCTATATTTCAACAGACAAAACGCAATGTGAGGAATTGTAAGGAAACAATTTACCCAAATCATAATGATTTAACTGATCATATTTGCATTTGATTTACATCAAATGTGCCACTGTGTCATGAAAAACAGAGGCATGTGATGTAAAGTTTGGAATTAATGTATAAAATTATTCTAGTATAGTGGAAAAAAATTCTATAGGTTTCCAACTACTGGTAGGGAAAAAATGATGATATGATAAAATGATGATAACCAGAGCTGTTGCATCATTCCATAATAATTAAAGCTGTACAGCATCAAGAATTAATTTACAATAAAAATAATATTCAGAATGCCTCATATTCAAAAAATCTCACTGATCAACAGCTTTTCATAGTAATTTTGTGACAAGAAATAACTGTAAATAGATAATTATGGTTTATTATTTAATAACATTTTTCACTGTGGCATGACTTCTTTGTTCCTCAAATACTTTTAAATTGTGAATAAGTTTACAATATGGTTTCAAATAATAATTCAGTCCACACCGGGGCTGCACTAAGAGCGGTCTGCAGGTCAAAGTTGGCCAATTTGATTTGCTGACGTTTAACTTGGACCACTAAAAAGTTTTTTTCTTCTGAAAACTGTATTTTGAAATTATTATTAAAAACTACAGTGTAATGTTGTAAAATCTATTTTTCAAAAAACTTCTACCTGACTTTATTTGTATTTTATTTTGACTATTTAGCTGTCGGTAAACTAAAAACATTTCATTTTGGCCACCCAAGAAAGTTTGGGCACCCCTGGTCTACTGTACAAGTTATTAGCGAATACCACTTATTAATATGACAAGTGATTCCAAATAATTGAACAGCAGTGTATGTGTGATGATAACTCTAGTTTCTAACTCTGAAGATTAGCTATACTTTTAAAAATTAAAGGACAGCTCTCAGACTCTAATGAGGACCTGAAAGGCTATGGTAGGTTTGTAACTTGTCACAGAAGGACTTATTTTGGCTCCCTAAAGAACCTTTCAATGTGAAGCATAACTATGTCCCCAGGGTCCTGTGTTGCCATTGCTGTACATTTCCTTTGCTTTGCATATTATAACCTAGGAAACCTATACAGTCATGGTTATGGTCCTGGAGTCAACACTGCCATACAGTCACTGTCTCTCTCACACTCACTCACTCACTCACATTTAACAAGACTTTCCACAAGGGGGAGCCACTGGCACTGTAATAACAGTGAAAACAACCTTGTGTTAGCTGAAACGGCTGTGTCTATTGAGCATTGTGGATGCATGCTTTCTAGGACTTCTGGGCTACTACATGCAGGTGCTTCACATCAATGACACTTGGCGTCCTTGTTAAATTAGTTAAGGCTCTACACTGCAAAAAATGATATGTGGGCAACAGAAGTCATCATAAATTTAGTCAATGTATCTGATGTTTCTCATCGTTGTAAGGATATTATAAGATTTGACTTATTTCAATTTTTTACTTAAGTAATTTTATTTAGTGATGTTATCTCACTATATTGACAGACAGTTTGCTTGTTTTAAGAAATATGCTTAAAATAAAAGTCTTATCTGCCCAAATAGTGAGATAATTTGGTACAGAGTAATGTAATAAGTAATGAAATATCTTTTTCTAGAAAGTAGTAATAACATTATCCCAATACATTTTGAGAGAAGCAGTTAGTAACTAGTAATAGATTACTTTCTATGTGTTATTACGCCGACACTGGAGCTATCTATATTGATATTACTAGCATTATGTACATGTTGCTGACCCTGTGCAGCACTCTGTTCTGACTAAAAAAATGTAGCAGGTACTTTTTAAATTTAATGGGGCCCTTGCTTGCCTCAGTGAGCTAATTTTCTAGCCAAGCAAACTTCATAACAAGCCTTTTTTATTTTAGAGTATAGCATACATTAACTTTCTGAATGATTGCTTTATCTGCCCTTTTTTGTTGTTGCTAGCTAACTAGCAAGCCAGCAGTAACAGAGTAGTTTACTACATTTTGAACTTGACAAATTGTATATTATAGTTTTGAAATTTTAAATAAAGAATGAAGTGTGTGTTGCGTCAAATGATTTGATTCCAAATGTACTGACTTCTGGGCAACTTCTCAAGTCTATATTTATATTGGCTTGAACCATAGGGCCGCTGGGAACCTAGAATTGTTTCCTATAAGTTTTCAATGAAGGAATATAGGGCCGTGGAAACATAGGGTTGTTTTCCAGAAATTGCTGTTGGTGTTGAGAATGGCATGAGCTGAAACTCGCCTGCCTTAATATAGAATGAAAATTGTTCAAGCAGCTATAACTTTTGCTTAGTCCTTTGTTGAGTGTGGGTCTCCATCTACTCTTCCAGTGTTAGATACTTTTGGACAGCCTATACACCATCAAGTATACAGCGTGATGTGAAAGTGTTTCCTTTTTTTTTGTTTCCTAGAAATGAAAACAAATAAAGTACCCTGGGAAAATAGGGATGACCACTTTCCATAGATAATGAACCTTTACATTATGGGGAGCCTCTTTAAACTTTAAAGAGGTTCTCCACACTCACGCCTCTAATTTACAGAATGGTACTTCTATAGCATTGTTTCAAAAACACTTCTGACACTTTTGTTTTTAAGAATGTATGAATACAGAAAATGTAGTTTGTGTTACAGAATCAGTGACTGGAAAATATACTCACGTCCATGTACTGTTCATACTCTGCCATGCCGTCTTCTTCTTCATGCTCCCAGTCTCTCCAGTTGTCAAAGTCTACTGATAACCAGGCTGGCTGTGGGGTTAGAGAACACATCAGAATGCTCAACAACTTTCTTGAACACTAAATAATACCTAAACTAGACGATTCTTTTGTGATAATTTAGTTAAATTGTAGGATGTGCTAGTAATTTCCCTTCATTCCAAGTGTTTATTTTGGAGTTTATGATGTTTTCAAACAATTGCTAATATGAAGAGGTTCCTTAAATGTAACCTAAATGAACCTGACTCAACTGCTTCCACCTTGCTGTGCTTCGCCTGAATTACGATCAATTGATTAATATTTCACACTGATATTGGTCAGAAATCTCCATAGGAAATTGTTAGAAACAAATTACCTTGGCTGTGTCTTTGGTGAGCCGAGGCCATGCTACATTGTCCTTCACTTTCCTTATCAAGACATTAATGGTGCGATCGCCTACCTTCTCCCTGGAGTCCTAAAAGACAGGAACACAGAAAATTGCTTCACATAGCCATATAGTAGAACACTGTTTTGCAGAAGTGGGTAGTAGTTAATTACATTTACTCAGTCAAACGTACAATTTTGATCAATCTGTACATCTAATACTTCTAATATTTCTCATACTTTTACTTCTACTCAAATACATTTGTGAAATAAATGAATCTATGTTTTAATGGGTTCCACTTTAACCATTCACACTGAGCTACTAATTCTCTTTCCTGTGATTAATTGAATTCCGTTTGTTGGTTTATCACCTGGCTTTGCTGTTTCTCACACCTCTCACTTATAGACCAAAAGGATCCCAAAAGGAAAAGTGGTGAGCTTAGCAAACTTCAGTTCCTGTGCTGATAGATATTGGATGTACTAAGAAGCTCTACTGCTGTTCTAAGGGAAACATTTTTTGGGGTCTGATACTTTATTTATTCAAATAGATTTTTTCTAACTTTTAATTCCACTTGAGTCAATCTGACATCAAATTATCAAGACTTTGGTTATCTGGGTTTCCACTCACCTCTGATCGTAATAAATGCAAACAGAGGCAAAACACATACACAGGACTTTTTGTGAACCTGATCAACATTAAAGGACCCAAGCAGCTCATGTATGACTGACCGCTACATTGCTCCTGTGTGATTTCTATAACTGTGGTGGCAATCAACTGATTTCCGAAGCAACATTATCAAAATGAATATGAAATTCTATCAAGTCGCTGCCAAGCATCGGCTAGGGGGATGTAAAGTTTCCCAGCACTGGGCTGTGGAACAGTGGAGCCATGTTCTGGAGTGATGGAGCACAATCCTATAACTTTAATATGAGTTTGTGATCCAGGAGTAATCATCCAACATCGGTACCTGACCTCAACAATGTACTTGTGATTGAATGCAATCAAGTCCTCACAACAATGTGCTAACATTTAACGTCTTCCCAGAAAAGAAGAAGCTGTTACTGCCTCAAAGAGGAAGGAAACTTCCCATTAATACCCATCATTTTGGAAAGAAATGTTGAGTAAGCAGGTATTTACAAACTTTTGGACACTATAAACACTACAGCTTTTAATTGAACATTGGTTATTTTGCTGTGAAGGGGTGTGCAAGAACATCAATGTACTCACAAAGCATTATTTATATTAAATATTTTACAAATCTGACTCAAAGCAGAGGTGAGAGAACTTACATTTTTGTACACTCTGGCGTAAAATTCAATCTCGTTGTAGATGTTGTTATCATCTACATCTTTACAGCTGAAACACAAAGAAGTAAACAAACAAAAAAATAAATCAGAAGCTTAACTTGCATTATGGGTTTTAGTGAACTGTTTAAACAGTAAGCTTCAATGTACAATTATTTGGTATATAAAAACAGATTCTCACCATAAGATGATTTTGGTGTCCTGAATGTCAACTTGAACATCCTTTGGATTCTGAATCAGGAAGTTTATAGTAATGTACTTTTTGCGGTCAAACCATACTGTTTTGGCTGGTTGACTATGGACATGAAAGAAAAGCAAGTGAAAACCATCTATACTTGCAATACTATTAAAGCCTACCTAGCAACACAACTGAAGCCTAACTAGACTTTAAGCCTTCGGTTCAGGTGTATCATGATATCTTAATATTATCATACAGTTACAGTTCTTACAGTTCTTAAGGCAAAAGCACACAGGAAAGCACATTGTTAGCATGCAGCATGTTCACTTTCAAACAAGAAGCTATGTTAACACTCACCAGTCATCAGGTCTGACGATCTTTGGCATCTTGATTCTTCAAAGTGCGGCCTTTGTAGTAAAAGGTGTTTTGTCTTTTTAATATGTGATCCAGTAGAAATCTCAGGGCTTTTAAAAAGCAGTGATTGCTAGAGACTAAGCGTGGTGTGTGGGGGCTATTTTTAGGACGGATGGTATCAGCTGCTAGGGGAGGAACATGCCTTCTTCACTCCTCAACCCCTGCACTCCCATTTAAAGGCTGTCAGTGGAACACTCGGGAAAAACACAGCATTTTCCTTCTCCCACCAAGCCACCCCATCTGCTCTAATGGGAGGGGGTGGGGAATCTACCAGAAGCCTGTTAGGGTGGGAACTGTTCACACTTCATGTTGCTCAGAACCACAAAATACAGGCTGTTCATGTTGGTCAGAACCACAAAATACATACATTTGGAGTACATTAATACTGTTACTTGTGTTATGATTTTTATAGAGTAACTTAGGAAGAAGCCCTGCAGTGTAACATGAACTATCCCCCACTTCATTTCTCTCCTGATCAAATGAGGGGACCTAAACTTAGTTCTTCGAGGCAAGAAGCCCCCCAAAGACAAGGAGCAAGAGGCCCCATTAGCATACTGCCCCAGAATTATCCGATCAACATAAAACTTTAGTTAGTCCACTGGAGTTTGATTGGCTAGCTAGCATTAGCGTTTGAGCGATCAATAGCATTGCTCAGGTGTTTGACACAAATTAGATGAGATTGTATTTGAGCTAGATGTAGGTAAAACCACACCTAATCTGTTCGATTAATATGCATGAATCATTTGCGCTTTTTTGTTCTCAGTCTTCACTTGTATTTGTTTAATTCCATCACCAGCACACTTGATTTAACATAATGAAGTACTGATTAGCCAAACCAGGTGTTGGATGATATTACAAGTAATGCTAGGCTGCCACAAGGAGAGGTTTGGAAAAGGTAATGTGAACACTGACATACTTAAAATCACCACTTACTGTATTAATGTCTTTTGTATTTATTCTGATACTATTCATTTATAAATACTTAAATAAATGCTTACTTACCCGATAAAAGGCCTTTTAAATCTAATTGTCTCAGGTGCCAAAAACACTTCACTAGGTAGGGGGCCATACTGCCCCAGTAGTGAGGCAAGATGACCCCTAATAAGAAGTTTATTTTTGTGCTATAAAAACAAACTGGGCTGCTTTTCCAATTTAGTTCCCCTAACTATGTGATGCATCATCATCCAGTACGTGCTAAACTCAGGAACAAATATGGTTTATTTTTACAGTAAATTTATATCATATGAGACTACATGTCTACTCATTAAGATATTTCATAGTGAGGCTGAATTACCACAACATTCATTACTTTGTATCACACATAAATCATTCCTGTTCAGAAATATTCAACTTTGGAATGAAAGAGAAAATCTGTAGCCATAAAGCTAAAGTTCCTGGGAATTTTTCTGAGCCATCATCATAATACGGCAGGTAAAAGAGCAGATGGTATTGAGCACTGTGAACATCAGTGTACCTTGTTTTTACTATATACCTCTTACTCACCAGGGTATATTTTGTTTTTCCATCTGAATTTACATGACCAAATCATAAGGCAAATTATTCAGTAACTGCATGAAATAAATGTAAATTTTTATTTTATTTATTTATTTTAAAAGCTCCCCTCAAGTTAACAGAAAATGTGTTTCTGATCATACACATATTGTTATATGCTTACAATTCACTGCTTAAAGCCAAAAATCTTAGACGCTCTTTGTATTATTTTATAAAAATAATTTTTATAGAGCAGATCACTGAAGAGACACCATCTGTTTATAGTTTATAGCCCAGATTTGTGGAGTTCAGCTTCTTTAATTATAAGGGTTTAAAATTACCTTACCCATCTATTTGACTGGAAAGAAGACAGTTACAGCTCTCATATGACACCCACCTTTTGAATGTAGCTTATGAAATATGAAAGTTATGAAGAATATGACTAATATGAATAAGTGCGTTTTGGAACCACCGGTGGTCTCAAGGAGTTGAAAAGGTTAATATATGTTTATTGTTTAATTTTGTAAATTCTTGTAGCCAACCATCGGTTGAGAGCGAACAGCAGCGCTGAATACACAGCGCCATCTATCGGTTTGATTATTGGCGTCAGTGGCCGCGCTCCAATATGCGTACGTTCTAATTAGATCACAAACTAGTGCGCAGAATGTTTGAAATCAACATGAAATGCGTTTGAAATCATTTGTACGCTAGCATGTAATACAGCAGAATTCATTTTGCTTACTTGGTGGACAGCAAACGTCTACTAGGCAACAGTGCAAACAGTCCGGAGTTTTCCCACAAATTTTATATGTTGCTCAAATGGCCAATGAGCAGGCCTTTGTTTAAAACCTGCAACTTCAACTAGCAAACTTCAGTCGTTTCTATGAGCTTTTAGAGTGCAGAAATACGTCGGTGCGCTTGAAAAATGGTGCTAACCCTCGTCGTTTATGCAAACTTTATGACTAGTAATAACGTTTATAGTAGTTAGCTAATGGCCAACAAATCAACCAACTCACTAACCTTGTCCAACTGCAGCACTTTTAACTGTACTAAGTGGAGCTGAAATCAGAGATTTACTGCCACCGTTACCGACAATGTACCCTACCCACTCTTAATAGTATGCTAGTGTACTCAACTAGAGCGCCATTTAGAACACAGCCGGTTTCCACTCCCCGGAACGTCATTTCCTAGCTCGTTTGCAATCGGAAGAAATGTGGCGCGCGCCTACGAGTGTTCCTCGGTTGTTTTAGGGGGCTTTGCTCTCTCTGTTGAAGCTACGAGCTAGTGTTTCTCTTCCTATGCCTTTTAGAAACCGGTTAAAATCTAGCTATAATACTAAATTACGGAGGGATACTTTATTTACCACTGAAGACGGCCGGGAATTGAGTGAAACTTGTAACATTATGCCTCGTAGAAAGGTAAGAATAATGGTAACTGACAAACAGAGCTAACGAGCCGTCTCATAGCAACCGGTAACCAGGCAGCAGTACCACTGACCCTTTTTTTGAGCAGCTGAATGACCAGCCAGCATCCAGCTTCGGTCCAGTGCTTAACCTTACTTGGTGCTGATGTTCAGCACAAAGAGATGTCATTTGTTACAAACTATCCCGCCCTGCCCGAATCAGCATAGCTCTGTCTCGGAGATAAGCTAAAAGCTAACGGCTAGCAAGCGCCAGAAAGAGAGAAAATAACCCCACAAGGTGTTGCGAAAGGTGCAGCGTGTTGCATAAAGTCGGTTACGGGGAAAACTAGCTAGCTAGATGGTCAGGTTTGTGGTTTTGGGGAAATGCCTTACATAAACAGTATTATGTTGTACACAAATCTGCCCGGGCACGACTGACTGAAAACAACCTACCGTTAGCTTGGGTTGGTTAGCCCCAAACAAAACATAGCTAGTTAGCCTAACGTTAGGTGGAAAAATACAAGCGTGCTGCACAAACATGTCCTTCGTTAGCTAACGCTAGCTAGGTTTACTGTTATTCAGTTAAGAGTCGTGCTCTCTATCTATGAAAAACGTCTGCATAAAGCTGTAGCTAAATTTAACGTTAGTTGGAATGCGCCTGGAAAAATGTAGCTAGATAGCTGGCTAGGTTTGCTAGGTTGTGCATCGTAGTGCTTAGCGGCGGTGAGAACGCGGCGGGCTGGATTCTCTCGGTCAAAGGACAGTTTTTATCATTTCCGTGTGTTACGTTCACGGAGTATCTTCATACAGAAATCTTGGTTTGGATTTGTGTAGTTATCGCGTCTAATTGTATATTTGCAGAGGACAGCTGGGAGCAGCTCGGACGGCACCGCAGACTCCGACGACTCGGCAGAGCCGGAAAAAACGGACAGTGGCTCCCACAGCGACCCCACCGTGCGCAGCAGCGCCAGACTGACCCGAACGTCGCTCCGCCTCAGCCAAAGCTCTCAGGGTAAAACACAAGGGCGGGAAAGAAGTCTAGAACTACACTGAAGGGGCAAACAATAATATATGACAAAATAATAAAACTTCATAAAGCGTATTTTATTCATAAAAACGCATCTATAAGTGCTGTAAATGAAGATGCACGTAAATAAAGCTCATCACTTGAAGAGTGAGCTGTAACATTCAGTGCCTTGTATTAGAGACAGAAGTCAGCAAGCAAAGTGTCTTTCCAGCTGAAATATAGGAATATAAAATTTATCATTGGCATAGTTTATGAATTATTTTATTGTAAGTGAGAAAGTTATATTTCTTTAAATATTCTTTAGGAATACGGGCATGTTTATATGGCTGTATGGAGTGTCGTTGAAGTTCCATTTCAAAAATAAATTTAGGTTGTATTAAGATTAAATCTGTGCTATGATGTAATGTATTCTGCGTTAACAGTACTGCATAGTACATGTGTAACTTCAATGTTATTATAAAATATTTAGTAAGAAGAATATATATTTTCACCCCATAATGCTTATGCTTATTTATGCTCATTTAGCCATAAAAATAATGTGCAGGCACATTATGTTACATTATGAAAAGTAAGCAACATCATTAAATTCAAAAACCCAAGACGAAAGCTGTTAAAATTTGCTTTTATTCAAAAAATGCAAAAATTAATTTGTGGTTTACACCATCCTTGACATCAGGCATAACATGTCCACCCCATTACACAAAATAGAGAGTGTGAACAGTGGGCTTTTTGTTTTGTTTTGTCTGTTTAATAAAAGTAAAAAAGTAAGAAGAAAGGAAGCTCAAAGTGCTTCACAATGAATGTGTAAAACACTAAAACATTATAAATAAGAGCGATTGACACAAAATTGACAGGTTTTCCTTTTTATATAAAGTAAAAAAGGTAATTGATAAAGGAATCTTTTAAACAGGAAAAAAGAATAAATATTAAAGCACTTAACATCACCTTAATTTTTACGTGTACGCTGAGTTTTGGGATAATGGCTGAAATATCAGGTTAGTTAACATAAGTGTATTGTTATTGCAAGAACAGCAATGTTAGGAGCATTAAAAACACAGAGCTTTAGCAGACATGAATGTAGCATTAAAATCTGTATCCAGTAAATGCACCCAGATGACAAATTGCCAGGTAAACATCACCGATTATTCCAAACAAACTTGATTTAACTTTTTCACATTATATTCCCTTTATAACTGGATATGTTCTGCCCTCACTAGTAGGCTGGACAGGTAGCAGAGTGCTAACCAGCTAACAGGCTAACACTACAATAATAAAAGACAGACTTCAAGTTCAAGCCTTTAAATGAAGTGTTACCTAAAAACTGAGACCTACAAAGTAAAGAACGTTGCGCAAGTTACATGCCTGCTACAAGCTAAACAAATGTCCATATTTAAGAGCTGACTTAAAAATCCTAAATAGCACGGAGCTAACTCCGCCAGCTTGATGCTAACATTGCTAACCACTGTAGCGAAAATATAAGAAGAATTATCGAAACACCGATCAGATTTCTACATTAGACGTTGTTGTGTAATGGCACTGCTTTGTGGTTCTCGGTCTGTACCTGACTGTGTAAACACCCAAAGTTTAAATGAAATTACTTTATCAGCATGAGTAATTGGTGTAGGCTGACTAAAGCATTTCTCTCACAGTTCAGGTTCTTTTTACAGATTGATTACTCTACAAACATCAACACACAAGCATTCGAGCATCCCAAAGTTCATTGATTATTTTTATTTTTTCCTGCATTTCTATCTTGTTAGGATGTTCTAAACATTTAGTGTATTGTCTGTTTACCCTATGCCGGACGTTCTGTAGAAAAGTCACTCAAAGCATAATGGGGTGCAGGGGTAAGGTGGATAATAAAAACATAGAATTCTACATAACGTTAAAAACAATATTTGTGTAAAGAAATACATGCTCTCAGTTGTTGTTTAAAGGTAGTGTACTAAGTTAATATCGTAATATAGATGTTTGTAGAAGTGTTGTAATAAATTCTGTGTTGCAGTGTGGGTGTAATTTAGTGATTAAAGAACATTCAGTGCTTTGAAATTTATGAACTGTTTCACCAGAGCTGGCTTAATGAAAATGGGAGTCAGTCCTGTGTGTTGAATATTGTATTTTCTATGACTGATTTCAGTTAAAAGTTGCAAACACGTAAGCGATGCTTAAAATGTTTAATGGGTATTTTGGTTTAAGTGCATAAGTCTTAAAGTGCATGTATATAATTTCTTTCTAAGTTCTCAAATGTAACTGCTCCTCACAGATGCCCCACCAGATGTTAAGCAAGTAGCAGAAAGAGATGAGTCTCCACCCAGGACACCTACAGGGAATGCCCCCTCATCTGAATCAGACATTGACATCTCCAGTCCTAATGCATCCCACGATGAGGGCGCAGCAAAGGACCAAAAAGACTCAGGCAGCGATCCCTCTCACCGACCAAAACGGCGCCGCTTCCATGAGAGCTACAACTTTAACATGAAGTGCCCCACACCTGGTTGCAATTCTCTGGGTAAGTAAAACATCACTTTCCCTACTGCCATACAAAATAAGAGTATGCTAGTTAGTGGTGTTAAAATGTGACATCAACCTGAAAGTGATTTGTCTACTCCGATTTTCGAATATATTTGGTATACACAAATATTTTGGCTAAAATAAAGTTCTCTCAATAAAAGTGTAAACATCTAAAAGAAGCGTTCTTTTTTTGTTTAATAGTCTGTATTTCACTAGTGAGTAAATAGTGCCCTCAGTGACATTCAGTGTATTCTTAAAAATAATCCTCACTAACAGTAATCAGATCAAATCATGATGATGTTGGAGATTTCATGATGCACTGCAGTGTTTCCTAAGATGAATTGTGTTGGTAAAAGATTTGCACTGCAGTTGCTTGTGCTGCACACTCAGTGCAAAGATGTTTTCACAGAGCTTTTAAAGTCAGTGTCTTGATTAGACAATCTTTTCTTCTGTTTTACAGGCCATTTAACTGGAAAACATGAAAGACATTTCTCCATATCTGGTTGTCCCCTCTATCACAATCTGTCAGCAGATGAGTGCAAGGTTTGACTAATAGTTTGTGGTGTCTTGAGCTCTTATCCTGAATCTGGATCTGGTCTTGTTAGCATTAACAAGCGTTCTTTATTTTATATGAAGGTGAAAGCCACTGAGCGTGATAAGCAAGAAGAGGAACGAAATCAGAGTCAGAATGAGGACAACAGGCATGCTACACGTCATCAGGTGCTTGATTTCTTGACCTTATTTTTTTTTTTTGTAGTATCATTAGTATCCCAATAATCTAAAATGTGATTATTTTATTTTTGTTGAGTAAAATTGCATAAAAGATTAAACATGTCATAGCCTCGATTTAAGAATACCCTTGATGTGATGAGACTTGAGACAAAAGTAATTCTTAATCTTGGTTTGTTATGCAAATGGGGTCTCACATTTGTATGGATGTCTCATTCATGTAGGCTCCTACTGCAAGACAGGTGAGGTATAAGGAGAAGGTTCAGGAGATGAGGAAGAGGAGGGATGCTGGACTAACTAAGGAGCAGAAAGAAAAGTACATGGTATGAATCAAGTTCAAGGCTTTATTGTCATTTCAGCTATATGCGAGTACACAGTGAAACGTAACAACATTCCTCCAGCACCATGGTGCAACACAGGAACACAAGTGCAAAGACTCTTTGTTTTATGTGATGTACTTGCACAAGTTATTATAGGTGTTGCCAAAATTACTAAACTGCTGCTACCAAAATGTCAGATTTTGGAGAAATCACTTTCTGTATATTGAGTTTCTTTGTGTTCCCATTTTAGGAGCACAGACAGACTCATGGAACTTCTAGAGAGCCACTCTTGGAAAATATCACAAGTGAATATGATCTTGAGCTGTTTAGAAAAGCCCAGGCAAGGGCGTCAGAGGATCTGGTAAGAACAGATGACAGCTCCTTTTGTTTATCTTCTCTTGGTTTTGTTTGGACCTTGTGCTAACAGCAGTAATCTGCAAAATAAGCAGAACAGTGTTTGTTTGACAACACAACAGTTTTATTGAAACCGAAGTATTACACATTTGCTGCTGTTTTTCCCTTTTCCTTTGTTTAGTTTCTTTCGCTTTTAATCATACTCAGACCTCCTCTTGGATGTAAATACCATTCAGAAGTTTGGAAACATTTAAGTTTTGAATGAGTTGTTTCAGTTATGTAAAAACATACAGGTATCTGTAATATGTGTATTGCAGATTTGTAAATCGAATGTGTGGTTCTTGTACTGAACTCTGAGCTGCATAGCATTTGAGAATGAAGTTATAATATGATGAACAACCAGAATGTGATGATTAAATCTTTAAGTTGACAACCTCATTATATAGAGATGGTTGTGATAGTGATGGTTGTGAGATGTGGTATGTTACACATTTATTACATACACAAAATATAATGGAAAATACTTTTTGTGGTTAGTGTACATTTTATTCTATATACTATATTATGCATAAAAACTATGTGGAATTCTATTGTCACTTTTGCTTATTTGTGAATGCATGATTTTGAACTTAATATATATATATTTTTTTTCTTTTTCATTGAGTCGTTTTTCTGTGTGATTGCTTTGTTCAGGAAAAGCTACGCATGCAGGGCCAGATCACTGAGGGCAGTAACATGATAAAGACCATTGTGTTTGGCCGCTATGAGCTGGACACCTGGTACCACTCTCCATACCCGGAAGAGTACGCTAGGCTTGGCCGCTTGTATGTCTGCGAGTTCTGCCTGAAGTACATGAAGAGTCAGACCATTCTGCGTAGGCACATGGTACAGAGTTCACACCTTTCTAAGAGCTGTTTTGTTCTGAAGGGCACAGTTTGGTGATTTCTCTGCTCAAAACACTCCCACTAAACCTGGCAATTAACAGATATGTTGAATCACATGTATTTGAGAAGGTGAATCACATGTATTTGAGAAGGTGAATCACCAAACTGTGCTGGAAACTGGCCCTCCAAGACCACAGCTGAACAATAATTTAGAGGTCGCAGCATGTTACTCTTGTTTGAAGTGTTCTACATATGCGTAAAGACTCTTTGTGAAGGTGCATACTTGTGTTAATAAGCTATTCTTGACAAAAGGCTTTGGCAAATACAATTCAGAATTTAATATGCAATGCTTGTTGTGCGTTGGGTAACCTCCTTCGTCCCTTTAATCTGTGTGTGAACCATGCAGGCCAAATGTGTGTGGAAACACCCACCTGGAGATGAAGTTTACAGGAAAGGAGCCATCTCTGTGTTTGAGGTGGATGGGAAAAAGAACAAAGTAAGAGCTTACTCTTAATAAAGCAAATGTCTGAGTAGCAGCTGGTCTTACTGCCAGTAAGTGTCCGTATTCCTTAACTCGTCCTGCTTAACAAAAGTCGCCTTTGCCTTCCTCTTGCTAGATCTACTGCCAGAACTTATGTTTGTTGGCCAAGCTGTTTCTGGACCATAAGACATTGTACTATGACGTTGAACCCTTCCTATTCTACGTAATGACTGAAGCTGACAACACCGGCTGTCACTTAGTGGGATACTTTTCAAAGGTAAGGTTGTTAGCCAGTCCATGTCATGCATACTTGTGTAATTATTATGTGAATGTTTTATGGAGGAAAATTAATTGTGGAAGAGGTGTTTGCAATCTGGACTGAAACACTTGTTTTCTAATCCTTTTAGGAGAAAAACTCCTTCCTGAACTACAATGTCTCATGCATTCTGACCATGCCACAGTATATGAGACAGGGCTATGGCAAGATGCTGATTGATTTCAGTGAGTGTTCACCTGACTTTTAAATAAACTCAGTTTAGTTGTTGCCAGTTTCTCATTCACACATGCTATCCAGGTCTCCTCTTATTCCTTGATACTACTAACCTGGAAGGGTGAAGGCTAACACATACTCTGAGACACATGAAGCCAGTCATATTTTCAAGCTACCTGCTGTTTTATTAAAACAATGGAGGGAAAATGAGTCAAGGCCACCCAGAGAGCAGGGCTAGTTATGCTGTCTTAGACTCCCGACCGTGGGATTAGAACTAGAAATCTTCTGATAATATGGTGAAACATTAGACAGTTGTCTCTCAATTCTCAATTCTATTTTTTTTAATCCCGTTTCTGTTTCCTGTAGGCTATCTGCTGTCCAAAGTGGAGGAGAAGGTGGGATCTCCTGAAAGACCTCTCTCTGACCTGGGACTCATCAGCTACCGCAGCTACTGGAAGGAAGTCCTTCTGCGCTATATGTACAACTTCCAGGGCAAAGAGATTTCTATCAAAGGTGGGTGCTACTAAGAGGTCAACATGAATAAAAGCTCCGACCAGCGAGATAGTTTAAGATGCGTCTCTGGCACACATTTTGGTAAGTCAGGTAAGTTCACCGTCTCAATCAGCAAGAGAAACGTGCTGGCTAGAAAGGTAGAGGCCAACAAGAATTCAGAATGATAGTGCATGGACTCATAATGCAAGATACAGATTTAACAAGGGAGGAGAGAAGGCTTCTGTCAAGCCCACTAATGGTAAGGAACAGTTCAAGAACACCTGATGACACGTAATTGCTCTGTGAATGGTTCTGGGTGCTGTAATTTTAATCATTTGTTCTTTTTTTCAGAAATCAGTCAAGAGACTGCTGTGAACCCTGTGGATATCGTCAGCACACTGCAGTCACTGCAGATGCTCAAATACTGGAAGGGGAAGCACCTGGTCTTAAAGAGACAGGTATAGTGTGATACTCCTGCTGCGTTGCCAGCATGTCTGCATTTTCATTTTTTTTCCTCCTTGTTTTGCCTGTTATGAATGAATATTGTGGGGTTTTATTTTTTTTTAATTTACAATAATAACATTTTTTTTTCTTAAAACATGCCATCTTATAGGACCTGATTGATGAGTGGAAAGCCAAAGAGACCAAAAGAGGCACCAACAAGACCATCGACCCTGGTTCTCTGAAATGGACTCCCCCCAAAGGAACCTAAATGTCATTTGTTAAATTGGATTTCTTTTCCCCTCATTTCAACCTTTTACACACTCAATGACTTTTTTTTCCTAATTAATTTTCAGCCTTCAGTGTTACTTTGGTCTCTACGTGGCCTTCGTGCTTCTATTTCTTCACTGTTCTTTTATGTAGCTGTATTTATTTGCTGATCATCTTTTTTGAAAACACGTTTCTTAATCGAACACACATTTCAGTAGTCAGAGTTCTTTGCCCCAACATAAATATTTTTAAAAAACGCTTTTAAAAATGTGTCTTGTGTCTTTTAAAGCAGTGGTTGTTACTTAAGTCCTGTGCTGCAAAAAATGTCTTGCCAAGTGAAAACATCTTAAATCTTGCCAGTATATGTATTATTTATAGTTCCATATGAGTTTAAATTTATTTTTAGATTTTATTTTATATGGTTTAAATAATTTTATCCAGTTTGTGTCTTAATTTGGGTGACAGATAATTTTGCTTGATTAAAAAAAAAGCTGCCTTATTTTATTAAAATAAGCAAAAAGGAGTAAAAATGTTTAGAAATAGGATGCATAATGAGAACTACTTGATACATTCACTAGATGTTTTCACTTGACAAGGTTTTTTTTTTTCCAGTGTGGAGGACCACAGCACTGCAAAGTTTCCTTTGACAACCAGGTTAACTAAATAAGGGCTTAGCTGATGAATTGAATCACATGTAAAATCACAGAAGATATAAAACATGCTAGTGCTGTGGCCATTCAAGACGAGTCTGACTCCCAAGTAAAGGTTAGGTTAATGCTATGAATGTATCAATTTGAGAAACTGAGCGTTACTGTGAGTAATATTTTGGCTGTAAATGTCCTTTCTAATATTTTTTTCCAGAGCTTTTTGATCATTTTGAAATTGATCTGAAATAAAAAAAAGAAGTACAGTGGTCATTTTTGATAAATCTCTTGTATTAAGTCACAATTTAATTGCTCATGCAAATTTAATAACTAATTCATTTCATTTCAGAACATTGTGCTTGTTTACAGTCTGAAAAGATACTGATAACGAGGCTTTATTGGTCAAAATTGGCAAAGGTGAATATTGTGAAACTTGACTTCCTTTTCCCTAAATCTGAAAATGTTCACAAACAGTATCTTGACCGTCATCAGTAATATTGAAGTTTGTCCCATTCTTCTTGCAAATCTGCCACAAAAAGAAAACAAAAATAAGGACTTTTTTCATCTTTTCTTTCTTTCATCAGGTATTGGGGGGGGTGGGGTGGGAAATAATTGTTTGAAATGCTCCACCTGATTGCTTGTCCGATTCCATTGCTGCACCAATAGCTGTACTTGTCTCGGCTGGGATTATTCTAGTGAAGATATCTGCAATTTAAGAATTGAAAATATTTCATTTTTTTAATATGGCTGTGTTGACATACTATAAGGTAAATACATTTTTGTAAGGGAAATAAAAAAAATATTTTGTAAGTTACTTTAGCAGTTGGCAACAAAAAAACATGAGTACATATTTGCAAGGGTTCTAGACAACTATAAACGAAAAATATAAAATTTAAAACAAAAGCTTACCTCCTCTTAAAGATCGTCTGCCCATGAGTCCGACAAACATCTCCCCTTTATTTCCTGTAAGCCGAGTAAAAAAACAACCAGCAATTACTAAGTATTTTGACTTGAATCGTCTTTGTTGTATTGAAATCAAATTCTTTATTGGTATAATGTTGATGAAACATGGTATAATGTAGTGGGAAAATATTGCTTTTTTATAATTGAATAATAATTTACTACTCAATTTACTGTTCACTACTCACTTCTTCGATCCATTCGCATAGGTTTTGGGATGTCTAGGGATGTAAAGGGGAAAAGCACGTTGCATTGTTCCTTATTATTACAAATCCATCTATTACCATCATTGTTTTTATAGTCAGAACCATATAAAATAAAAGCAGTGTAGGGCACCCTGAGACATAAGCTTCAACGTTACTCCTCAGGTGTTGTTATTGAAGGAATTCAATCTTACCTGAGCGCTTTCCCATGAGTCCGTAAAACTGATGCCCTTTGGACCGCTTGATTAGACTTGCCACTTCACTGGCCAGTCTTTCCGCAAAAGATTCATCCTTGTAACAATATACACAAATAGATATATATTTTAACAAAATGAAAGTATCTGAACATCAGATGGTGACAGTGTCAAATTTTGGTTATTATTAAAGCCACAATAACATTTTTAAATGTTCTCTTTAGCTCTTGCTGGTCCTAAATTATTTTTCATTATTTAAGCTGCTTTTTAACAATGAAGATGTAAAGCTGAGCTTTGTGTATTTTTTTTCTTCTTGTTTATTATTTTTAGCTCATTTCCTTGTTGTGACAAATACTTTGAAATGACTTAAATATTTTATAATGAACATGGCTGTTGCCCTTTTATTTATTCATTCCATTCATATAGACGCCACAGACAAAAATGAATGAATTTAACACACAAAGATATTCATTAATATAAATATACACATACCTCCCAGTTCTTGGAAATCCAGTGTTCCTTGTCAAGATTAAAAGATAATCCATAAGTACTACATGCAAGTGCAATCATGGTGGTAATTATAGCCAGCAGTTTCCGAAACTCCATTACTGAGAAGGTTTTTAAAAATAGTGTTAGCAATAAATGTTTTTTTTTTTTCTGGTAGAATTAGACTGCAGTTTCAGAATAGTGGGATTTTTTAAAAAATCAGCCGATAGTATGCCGTATGCTGGTCGAATGGTCTTGGGTGTAAGATATTGTGAAGTCTGCAGTCTTTGTCTGGTCCTTCACGTACTGCTGGGTGCATTTATACACATACGACTGCCAGTCCCCTCCCAGCTGTACAATACCAAAATGGCCCGCATCACCACCTTCTCCCCTGTCATAAGATGAGTCATTTTAATGAAACTGACTACCACTTGTATTAGGTGATCTGTGACTACGTCTGATTGGCAGAGTTTATGTCAGCTTCTGTTTTTCACCAACTGAATGTCATAACATCACTGATGTAAATTTCAGTGATGGAAATATATGCAAATATATGCACAAAGCCATTACTGAAGGTTTTAAGCCTTGTATGTAGCATTGACATAGATGCTTATTTAGTATACTTTATTGTGGGATTGCATTATTGCATCTTGAAAGGAGCTTTCTAAGATTGTCGTTTGCTTTAATCTGGACTGAAGACCGAATGAAAGTATTGAGGGTATCCGTTTGTAGTCGCTGACCAAATATTGACTTTCTGAGGCGTCCATTTGACTATCGTCTCTTATTTATAACCCTTTGATCTTTCTGTTCTGTTCCTGTTTGTCCATATAAATGGATAAGGTTTAAGCAACCAATAATACTTGTTACTATAGGTCACCTGCTGTCATGGGAGAACTCCCTGTGAAACACTTATATGTCATTAAGCACCAATGGTCAAGACGTTGATCTCTCAATGTCTTTGACTTCATAGGGTCAAGTTTGTAGCACTCCTTCCAAATTATGTGATGTATCAGGAATAATCTTTTCCTTTTGTAAATTACTTTAACTTGTGGATGCCATCCCAGATTGGTGTGGGTTATCACAAATGGAAGGGACAGAATATCTTGAGAGTAGTCTTTCAGAGGCTTGGAGTGGTGGGGGTATTCTACCTTGTAAGGTTCTCAGCTCAGTGGTGTGCCTCTGATGAGCCCTCATCATAGGATTGATGCAGGCTATAGTTCAGACACATTGAAGGCTTAGGGAATGTTTTACTGTCATGCCGAGTCTTAATTTGACTGCTTTTAGATTATTGTACACATATATTGATCAGACATATTTGATTAGGAGTCATTATATATGCATGGGTTGGTTTGCATGCCATAATTTATCTTGCTTCAATGGTGGTGAATATTTCAAAACAAGCACATTGGTTAATATCCTCTGTAAACAATTCTCCCTACTGTGCAACTGAAATTCACCAAAGTTATTAATTTAATTAATTCATTTAAAATATTACTGAAAATGAAATATCATGTCTTTATTCATGAAACACATTTGAGCATTGGGGTATATTATTTTTCTTATTCACAATTAAATCCTGCAAAGTTTCTTGGAAGTGAGTGACTAACCTAACAGGCACTGCAAAATCACTGCCCATTGAAATCTAGATGACATATACGCAGTGTGTTCTTTGATCTCACCACAGGTGCTTAACAAAGCAAGAAACCAATTTTCGGTAATTTCACCTGAACGGCACTTGTGCGTTCACAAGCCCACTGAGGTCTAATGTTGAGTGCTGAATCAAAAGGAATCAGAGGCTCTACATTTGCATGTAAAAACAGACTCATTCAAAGGGCCCCCACAATGCTAACACCATATTACCATGCCATATCCAGCAGCGTGGTAGTTTTATCCTCTGGTTTGGGGACTTACTTAAACTGGAATATAGAAATATAGTGTATCCAGTAGCGTAATAGTTTTGTGTTTTGGTTTAGGTACTTGCTGAAACTGCAATACAGAAATCATGTTATAACTAGCAGTATGGTGGTTTTGGTTTGGACTTAACATACAATAATTTGGATACATTTTAATTATGTCAAATGTTCTTAAGCATTTTGCTGAATATGTAATTGTCTATGAAGAAATTATATTAGACAAATTGTCTGGTTCGGTCTGGTTCTCTGAGATGTAGAAGCCAAAGGCTCTTTACTATCAAATCTAAGAGAGAATTTGTTCCCTGGAGTTCTCTGAAAATCATCACATTGGTGAGAGCTAGGAGTGAGGAGTCGTGACTGAGTACGATGTGTTCTCCATACGAGTTGATTGCATCCATGCTGACCCATTGACACCACCTGGGTGTCAGCAAAATGCCTTTATGATTGCCTTTGCTAATCATTTCTGTCTTTTGTAGTTATAGTTCGACTTATCCCCCTGCTCAGGTGTTGAGGCATTTGGTAAGGCTTTGCTCTCTGATAAGCAGACTTCTTCTGTGAAAGCTATTAAAAGCATGATGGTATTTCTGTTTTTTTGTTAGCTTGCGGTTTGATGCAGAGACCACTATTACGATCTCAGCATTGAGAGGAACAGAACATCCTGTGCTTGGGTGGGTTTCTTTAGTGGGTTTCTTCCAGTTTCACTGACAAGCACAGGCCATTGTTAGGAACATTTTCAAGATATACTGTCACTTTCTGGTCTTCATGATGCTAGTTATGTAACAGTAGGATATAGTAAGTGGGATCTGCAGTAGTATGTCAGATTATTGCAGAATTGCCACTTGAATCTTTCATTAGCTGTTTTTAGGGTTTTCTCTTTGATTGACCAAAAAAGTTGGAACGCTGTGCAAAATGTAAATAAAAACAAAATGCAATGATGTGCAAATTATTTAAACGTTATATTTAATTGAAAATAGTACAAAGACAAAATACTTTTTTTAATTTTATTTTATAGTTTTTTTGAAAAATAGGTGCCCATTTTGAATTTGATACTAACAACATGTTCCAAAAAACGGGGATGGGGACAACAAAAGGCTGGTAAAGTTGTGTAATGCTAAAAGAAAAAAAACACCTGGTGGTTAATTGGCATCAGGTCAGTAACATGATTGGGTATAAAAAAGCATCCCATAGAGGCTGAGTCTTTCAGAAGTAAAGATGAGGAAAGGTTCACCACTCTGTGAAAGACTGTGAAAGGCAAATAGTGCAACAATTCAAGAATAACGTTTCTCAACATAAATTAGCAAAGAACTTTTTTTTACCATAGATGATGAAGCTTTTCATCATCTACGGTACATAATATCATTAAAAGATTCAGAGAATCTGGAGAAATTTCTGTATGCAAGGGACAAGGCCAAAAACCAAAAAATATTTGCTGGCCGTGATCTTTGGACCCTTAGGTGGCACCGCATTAAAAACAGACATGATTCTGCAGTGGAAATCACGGCATGGGCTCAGGAACACTTCTGAAAACCACTGTCTGTGAAAACAGTTTGTCGCTGCAACCGCAAATGCAAGTTAAAAGCCCAAAATGCAAAGAAGAAACCATATAAAAACACGATCCAGAAACACCGCTGCCTTCTCTGGGTCTGAACTCCTTTAAAATGGACTGAGGTGAAGTGGAAAAGTGTCCTGTGGTCCAACAAATCAAAATTTGAAATTCTTTTTGGAAATCATGGACACTGTGTCCTCTGGCCTAAAGGCCACTCAGCTTGTTATCAGTGCACAGTTCAAAAGCCAGTATTCATGATGGTATAGGGGTGCATTAGTGCACATGGCATGGGTGACATGCACATCTGTGAAGGCACCATTAATGCTGAACGATATATATACATGTTTTGGCAGCATATGCTGCCATCCAGACGACTTCTTTTTCAAGGAAGGCCTTGATTATTTCAGCAAGACAATGTAAAACTAAATTCTGCATGTATTACAACAGCATTGCTCCATATTAAAAGAGTCCAGGTGCTAAACTGGCCTGCCTGCAGTCCAGACCTGTCACTCACTGATATTATTTGGCACATTATGAAATTAAAAATATGACAAAGGAGACCCCGAACTGTTGAGCAGCTGAAATCCTATATCAAAAAAGAATAGAAAAACATTTCACTTTCAAAACTACAGCAATTGGTCTCCTCAGTTCCCAAACGCTTACAGAGTGCTGATAAAAGAAGAGGTGAAGATACACAGTGGTAAACATGCCCCCGTCCCAACTTTTTTGGAATGTGTTGCTGCCATCAAATTCAAAATGGGCATATATTTTTCAAAAAACAATAGAATTTCTCAGTTTTAACATTTGGTATGTTGCGTTTATACTATTTTCAATTAAATAAAGGGTTTAAATGATTTGCACCTCATTGCACTTCGTTTTCATTTACATTTTGCACAGCATCCCAACTTTTTTGGAAATGGGGTTGTAGAAAATTGTTACATGGAGCATGGGGCAATACAAATAATTGTATTTCACTTGCAACACGTATTTTTTGGTTTCAGCACATTAAAAAAGCCCTGTAATGTTCTGAAAAGCATGGACATGTATGGAAAATGTTATTAGAAAATGAGCAAACAGCCAATTAGCAAGAGACACTGGAGGGGGTGGGGGGGTGTCATGTCATGTGCACATGACGTTCAAGTTAGCATCCATAAAAGGTCTGTGACTCTTTAAACAGCAATGAGATATATGATGTGTTCATAAAACCCAACAAAAGACATGAAAGTTTGTTGGACGAGTCAAATGCAGCTTAATATTTTTATTGTGTTTCATTTTCTCTGCATTTTGTTTGTTTTTAAGCTTCCTATAAAGTATTTTGTGAAGTTGTTTTAAGGTTATATTGTATATATAAATTAAATGTATTGTTATTATGGAGGACTTTCATGTCTGTGAATCCTTTCACCAAAACGCTAATCCTAGAAAAATTTAGGTTTTGAAAAGTCTGAAACATGAGAATGAAAAAGTGGAAAGAACCTTTCGTCTTAACTGACATAAGGTGGGCTTTAATTTCATTTAAGAACGTGAGGCAGTTGGCACTGTAATGCGGGTATGGAGTGAGAGAGACAGGTTGTAATTGTATGGACAGTATGCGTTCTCGTAAGAGGTAGCGTGTGTATGTAAAGCGGGTGTTAATGGAACAAAGACAGGATGGACATGTTTACAGTATCCTTCCATGCTGTATAAAAGGCAGTAGGCCCTGGAGGCTGGTCCTAAGCTTATTCACTGCTGTCTCTGTGTTATATGACTCTGAATGTTAAATCTTTCCTGCTCTAATCCATCGTTGACAGCTTCTCCTCTGTCAGATGGGCTAACTGCCAGCATGTGTGTGTGTGTGCGTGTGTATGTGTGTGTGTACTAAATGTACAACTGAAAATGTGGGGCATAGAGATGAGATCCCTGC